CTCCATCAGTCCCTAAAATTCCTTCAATATTCCATTCTCTCCCTTTTTCCATAATTACTTTCCTCATCCTCTCTCTTTCAGTTGCATATTTAATGCAATCCATCAAAACATGATCCACATTTTCTTTTCTTTCACAATCCTTACATAAATAATTATTTCTCTTCCTTAGTAAAGACAAAATTTCATTCAAGTAGGTATATCTGGTTCTTAATCTAGAATAAATGATCTCTTCCCTTTTTTTTTCTCCATAATTTTTAACAATTACAGATTTTTTTAACCCTATATAATCTTCTTCCTTTCTCATCTTCATCCCATATTTGTTGCCATAATTTAATTTTATTTATTTATTTTTTAATTATTGATTTACCTAATTCTGCTTTCCTAAAGCCTTTTTAGCTATCTTGTCTGCTATTTCATTTACTCTCACCCCATTGTGTGCTGGAACCCAACAGAACTGAACATCTATTCCATAGCTAAATAACCTAAACAAACTCTTATAAATTTCTAGTACTAAGTCTTTCCTATTATTTCCTCCTGAATGAATGCTTTCTATTGCAGCTTTAGAATCTGTGCAAATCACCCGGAATGACTCTCAGGAACTAAATTCTATTATACAAATGTGTTATTTTTAGATATCGAAATATTATCCTGTAAATGCAACTGTCTGAATGACTTCTGAATAATTAAATAAATCTAATTTAACTTTTATACTTTAAATTTTGAATTAATTGCTGTCTCTCCTCATCATATTTATTACAGTACAACATTACGTGTTCAACTGTTCCATTTAACCAATATTTTATTGCTAATTGTGTTTTTCTTATATATATATATATATCAAGTGTTCCATGTTATTTTTTTTCCATCAAACCATATCCCTATGAAACTTTATACTTTTTACTTGTTCTAATTCTTGTTTATATGGCTTTAATTTTATACCCTCTCCTATTTTCCTTTGTAAATACCATAACTTTAGTTGTTTTTTTTTTAACTAAGAACAACTGTGAATTTCTTAATTTTCCAATTAAAAAAAAATGCACATGGAAGAGCATGCACTGGCCCATTTCACCTGGTGCACATCATGTTTAAAATGTGCTGCTCTCATAGCACATAAAAGCAAACTCAGTTAACTGACCATTCAGACAGATGATCACTGCTTTTTGCCCCGTTGGTCACTTAACTCCTCCTTCACTGCACAGTTCCTGTGCCATCTTTGCTATTAGTCGCTGCTGTCAGATATTGACAGCCTGTGGGGAAAGCGGGCCGCCATGACAGCACATCCCATAGTGCTTTGCGAGGAGAGCTCCCAGTGCAAAGCATTTTGAGATATATCTGCCTCTTCTGAGGCCTTTTTTTTCTTCTCATACACTTTGTAGGTACTTTTTCTCTTACGACCCCAGGCCATTTTCAAAGAACTGCAGTGATAAAGGTGAGCTTCAATGACTGTCTGAAACCGTAGAACACCACACATATGTGGCTGAAAGTGTGCATGATACAAGCAGAAGAAACAGATAGCTAAGGGGGCAAGCACATAGGACAGCCTTATGTAAGCATATCTCCAGAATGACTGACAATTAGGAGGACCACTTATTTAGATGATGAACCCAAATATAAAAGATCAGCCTCTATACCTCTTAATCATCAACGATGTTCCATTTTCTCTATTCTTACTATATAATCTTGCATTTTTTTTAACAATAAATTCAACTTTACAACCTCTTTTCCATTCCGCTGGAAATTTGATTGATCTTGCGACGTTATTGATGTCATTTACAGTTTAAATCAGAGACAGAAATCATATTTTATAGCTATAATTTAGAATTTGCTGCATACACATATACATCTAAATTAGACATGTACAAACACAAACTAAATTGATCCTCACTCTTATTCTAAAACAGCAGCATATACGCCTGGCTATAGATAATGAGGGATATATGTGGACTCCAAATGACTTCCATTGATTTTTAGTAATCTTGAACCCTCTTTTATGCCCTAACCCTGACAATAACCCTATACCTTACCATTACCAGTGTGAGTTGTGTTTAGTTTCACTCAAATCAGAAACTTAAACCAAGTCGCATCTTGCCCTAAACCTAATTGGAAAAACAGCTCCTATGGACCAGCAATATGTCATCACAACAACTGGTGCAAAAATTGGGAAAAATTATCCTCATTCTGATACCTATCTCTGCCAGTCTATGGGCGAGAGGCGGGGTACACCCTGGACAGGTCACCAGTCTATCGCACGGAAACACACAACCATGCACACACACACTCATATCCAAGAAAATTTTAGAGAATGATTTTAGACTGTGGGAGCAAGCCGGGGTACCCAGAGAGAACCCATGCATGCACAGAGAGAACATGCAAACTCCACGCAGAGAGCCCCTGGGCCAGGAGTCAAACCCAGAACCTTCTTCCCAGAAGTCAAGAGCGCTACCCACTGCACCACTGTGAAGCCCATCTACGGTACTTATTTATTTACAACAAATATTTATCTCCATGGCACAACTAAACAGTTCTAGATTATAGGTTTTAGTAGTTCACTTTAGAGAAGATCATTGAATTTAATTACTGACAGAAGGATTTGTGTTTGTGTTGTGTTGAAGTGAAAGGTTTGTGACTCAGGGTATGTGTGTGTGACCGATAGAGACTGACAGTTTTTGAGAATCCCACGGGAATCCTGTGACCCGTGGGATGGGAGTCAGTATTAGTAACGATCACGTGATTGGGACGGTACAGGATTAAACATTAACGGGAGCAGACGGGAGCGGGAGCAAACCAATAGTAACTAAAAAAAAACTAGGATCGATGCCAAAAAATAAAATAAAATAGAAAGAAAAAGAAATCCAGTACTGGCGCCACCATTTTGTAGTTTTTTTCCTTGAAGCCTACACTATAATGCGAGTAAAAAAAAACTACACGACCCAAAAACCAACAGTGCTTCCGCTCTGAGTTTTTCACCAGCGCTCGATAAATAACAACAACAATGAGAGTGAAGCAGGAGCGGGAGTCATTCTGAATGGGAGCGGGATGGGAGTGGGAGTAATTTCACCAGGAGTGGGACGGGACAGGATTTAGATTTCTACTCTGGCCCGGGATCGGGACGGGACACAATTTTTTTCTGTGGGAGTGGGACAGGACAGGAGTGAAAATCCACTCCAGTGTCAGTCTCTAGTGACCGAGTGAGTAAAGGGAGTTCGAAATATGGAAGGAGAGTCAGTGCCATAGATCAACTGCTGAATTATTTAGTGATTTATTCTTCTCTTTAAAATGGTCATCCTCATCAGCAGAACCACAGAAGGAATATGGCTATAAGAACGGGAAAAGCCTGTGGGAACTAATTGACAGCAGAGTTCGTTTATATCATTTTAGTTATCAAAACATCTAAAAACAATTTCAACGATTATTCATTAAGGTATTAATTTTGTTGTACATGCAACATGGAAGACACACAGTGCGGCAGCAGATACCACAGTGGAAATAAAAAGATATATATAGGAGCCAGTCAAATATTGTGCCAAACCTACTGCTGTGTATCCTAAATTACATAAAATAGCAAAAACAATTTATTAATGCCAGCAACATCTGTGAAATATATGCAGGTCTTCTTTAGAGCCTGAAAGGTAATGAGGCAGAAGAGGAGCAGTTTATATCCAAGCACTGTTAAAATGATTTTTTTTTTTCAATAAAAATTCCTGAACTACAAAACAAAGCAGCACAACTATCATATTCCCAGTTGCAGAAGCACTACCCTTCCAATATTCTCATTAACATTCAAAAAGCCACCTAGTATTATAGTTAAAGGCATAATTGCACAACATTCAATAACATATGTGGCAAGGTAAGCAACAGAACCCAGGCAAGATTTGATCCCACAGACCTTTGCATGAATCCTGGGGTAGAAGCTGGGGTGCATCATCAGTCTGAGGTACAACAGGACTACACTTTCACATATACACAACATTCATGTGCTGTTGTGCATCAGAAGGGCTGTTTATTAGAAGTTAACAAGTCATACAATTGTTTTTTTTTATTTTTTTATTAAATATTCATGTTATCATTATCAGAAGTATTATTATGGAACAAACAAATTAATGAAGACATTAGGATACCCACTAAAAGGTAGGTCTCATATCAATCCAGCAGATGTCCCCATTTAGAATTGTATCAGATGCATCTGGCATGATGTTTTGGCTTGTTGTGTGTTGAATTGGCTAAAATACTTCCTGAACATCAGCTAGCATGACCTCTCCAGCAGCTGGTTACACAGGAACAGATTCTGCCATTGACTAAGGGACCTAAGGCCCGGGAGCACATAACCCCCCCAGTAAAGATGCAACAAATGCATGTTCTCTATGAGTAAAAAAAAAAAAAAAAAAAAAAAAAGGCTGTCTTTCATCTTTAACTGAGCTCCAGGTTAATTGTCTACTTCAAAGGTAGTAGGCAAAGGCAGTAGTCACCAGTTACATTTACTCAGTTATATCTAGAAAAACTTACTGGGAAAAAAAAAAAAAAAAAAAAAAATAAATATATATATATATATATATATATATATATATATATATATATATATATATATATATATATATATATATATATATATATATATACACTTCCAATGCACCACAGCCAAGTAACTCAGTAACTGCCTTTAAAGTGCCAGACAACCCTACTGACTGATTTTACATAAAATGTTCGAATTTCAGCCATTAACGGTAGACATTTACCACCATATATTTAATTGTTTAGCAGTTATGATTTAGTTTTTTAGTTTACCAAACATGTTGAAAGTCAAACAAAATTAGCATAACAATTTTCACTTTATGTTGTGATTAAAATATAACTAATTATTTTGAATCTACAGAGCAAAAGACCTTTAGTAAAATGGAAAAAAAAAGATAATTGCGTTTCAATTTTGGAAATTTTTTTTTTTTTTAAATTACAGTATGGCTTTTAGGATTAGTAGTATTTGCAGGAAAGAAGGAGTAATATAGTTAATACAAACGTGATGTTTTTATATATTTTACTAAATAAAACACAGGCTAAGCCTCAGAGGAAGCTTCAGGAGTGTGTGTTGATGGATCATAAAGTTTGTTGAAGAAGGAGAAGTCAAGTGCAGCTTCCTGCTCTGTATCCTGAAACAGAACAAACGATAATATGATATAATTCTCTATAATATAATTGAATTTAATACAAATACTAACTTACATGTTGTGTGTTGTCACACTGGTCGAACACAGAGTTTTCATTAGTTACTTCATTATTGATTATTGATGACTGGTTCCTGTAACATATGGGACAAAAAATGAATAAACAACATAATATCTTTTACACATCATGTTTACAATATGTGAAACGTGAACAAAAAACAAAAAAGCATACACTGAATTCTGTTTTCGTTTTAGTATAAAAAGGAAAATGGAGATGATGATTCCAATCAGCAAAGTCAGACCAACTGCAAGGCCAACAGACAGCATATCTGCAGAAACAGGAAACCATGTTGAGATAAATACCTGCAACTGAAGTAATTAAGTAAGTAATTATTTCAAGACAGAATGGCATATAGGTACGCATGATTTAAGTAAGAGGAATACTTGTATCATCTGAGGGAGGAGAGATGGGATGCACACAGCTTGAGGGAAGGATGGTGATATCGTCAAGAGCAACATCTCCACCTGTACTCATTCCTCTCTGGTACACAAACACTAGCTGTAGGAAGAAAAATATAACAATCAATGATTTAGCAATATCTTTTTACAAACTTTAATTTCCCAATAACTCTTATTATTGCCTTTACATTTCTGCATCTCATCAAACAAGTGTAGAGAGTTGCTCTGTTTAGCGTGGTGGGCAATAGAACATCTTTTGTAATCTCTTTAAAAAATTTAAATTCTTTTACCGTACTATCTATTGAGCTTGATGTTGGATTTAGATGATAAAGCAGATATTTATTAGTTCTGTACTTTTAGAACAAAAAAAGCACAACCAGTGTCAATGCATTTTTAATTAAAAGAACTTCACATGCCAGGATACCTAAAAATTGTAACTAACTGTGGAAATTTGAGGTGAATTATGGAAGAAATAATCCCACCCTCTATATCTATCTATCATCTAAGACGTTTAGGATTTTGCTGCAAACACTGAAGGTGCTAAGAAGTACTGTCTGCTGGAAACCTTCCCAGCTGGATCTTGGTGGAATGTAAATAATTTAAAATCAGATTTTTTCCAGTGATATAAATAGCATTGGCATTAACTGTATTCTAAAGAAAAACATACTGTAGCATAAAACAGATTAGAATAGAATAGAAAATCCCTTTATTGTCCCACAAAGGGGAAATTGTGGCAATACTGTATTAAAGTAGTGACACTAATTTAATTAATTCTACATTTTAGATTTTTTAACAGTTGAGACATATTTTAGAATGCATATATGTTTATTACCCAGAAATCATGTTCATGTTGAACAGTAACACTGTCCTCCAGCCACTGGTCTCCCTTGTTTCCCGTTTTAGTCCACTTCAGATATTCTAACCCGTTACCTTCAGCAAGACTTTTCCTGTAAATCAGAAGAAGTTAAAAAAAAAATATGTGGCAATTAACAAACTTTCATTTTGATGCTAATGTTCACACCTGTCACTGATGTAGATGCTAAGGGTCCCAACATGGCTGCCATACATGTGGTACCAAAATTTAATGCAGTGATCTTTTGAGGATGGCAGGACCACACCACTGACAAGGTACGACATGTCTCCCCACTCACCCACTGAGCTGTCAACATATATGTAGTGACCTGAGGAAGAAATGGCAAGGTGTATCAAATTTCCCATGACATAATAAGACTAGAAATGCAATTATTTAAGATCTGGCGAAAGTAAACTAAGATCGGTGCACCTACGATCTTGCAAATATATTATAAAACAAATATTTTATGCAATCAAGTACATAACATCATATTACCGTATGAAGAGTTGGTAGTGTGGTCAACAGTTGGTCCAGTATTGGGGTTTGGGGAGTCTCCCGTTCCAAGGAGCCAATCTCCCTGGTCAACTCCCCCACCCACATTGCTCCAGTGGCAGAAGGAGCTCTCAAAGTCACAGAAACTATGATTCATGCATTCTGCATTTGTGAGTTTTATGTCGTCAAAGGCCATATCTCCCTCGATGGTCGGGCCGGCTTTCACACCTTCCACCACAATCTAAAAATATATACAACATGTCCCTATTTTCAGAGTCAATGTTTCTATAAGGAGTTTTCTTTTCTTTCTTTTTTTTTTTAACTACAACTATGCATATAACAGCAGGAAAGGGTCAAACTAAATTGAGATTTTTCTAAAATCTTTAGGACTAAAAATTAGAGAAGCACCGATCCAGGCTTTTTTCTGATCCAATCTGATACGATACCTGGGTTGAGCTTATCGGCTGATATCCGATACCGATCCAATTCAACTGTTGAATGAATGAACCATATACCTTGACATGTGATTGTTAAAAAATGTAAAACAAATGAACAAAATTATAAATGTACTTTATGCTATGTATTAACAAATACTGGGGGAAAATAAATAAATACCAGTTCCATGTAAAGTGCACTGGTTGGATCTCTGATATCAAATCCCTGATAGAGTGGCAGTCTGTGGGAGTGTGGCTCGAACTCAGCACCTCAGGATTCTATGCCCTAACCAATAGGCCACCATTCCCACAACATGTTCGTCATGTTAAAGGAGAAGTTCGGTTTTTTACACTTTAAGCCCATTTTCTGTAGTATCCAGGATGAAATCGAATGATTTCTCCGACGTTAGACGTTAGCACTCCGACGTCGAGGTGCTAACGTCTCTGTTAAACACTTTAAAAAACTCTGAAAATGGAATACGAAAGGTGGATTCTTGATTCTCGACGTCGGAGTACGCAGAGTGAAGCGAAAAGACTACAACTGTGTAAACAGGCCCCATTTCCGTTTCCGGTGGCAGGGAAATATTGACTATTCCTACAGAACTCAATGGGATTTACAAAATGCTAAATAAAACACTACAGGAACGTTTTTTCTTTACGAAACTTTTTTTGGAACGTCATTGAACAGCGCTGACGACACGGTGAGTAGCATATTTTAAAAAAAGAACGTTTAAGGTTGTTTTAAGGACATTATCGGACATGCTCTATGCAAGCCATTCTGAAGCAGCCAGGGGTGGATTCTAAATGAGCCAAAAAGCAGAGACAGGAGCAATTGTCAAACTTTTGGTGTCGATCATTCGATTTCATCCTGGACACTACAGAAAATGGGCTTAAACTGTAAAAAACTCCTTTAATATAACTGTAAAGCAACGGTGCAATAAACAGAAATAATAAAACAGCTATTTTAATTTGACAAAATAAAAAAATACGTTTATTGAGCAGAAATGTTTCAGTTGTGTTTTGTCTATACTAGAAGCAAACTGAAACACAAATAATGTTACACTTCAGTGTATGTATAAGCAAAATGCATATTTCTTTATTACATATTAAGGTTATGTGTCAGCATGCTTTCAATGACAGTAAGTTACATAATGTAGCTGAAAATGAGTGACTTACTCTGTATGGCTTAACCCAGGGCAGGAGCGAACCCTGAGCAAACCTCCAGAACATGCCCTGGTCTCCTGACTGGGAGAAAATTAAAACCTCTTCACCATCTTCACTTTGTTGGTAAACATTCAGTGTGCCCATTCCCTTCCCGTACATGTGGTACCAGAACTGCACACAAAATCCTTTACCTGAACAGAGAAACAATACCGAATTAAAATACATATATATTCCATATAATTTAGCATTTGCACGGGTTGAGGCTTTGCATAATCTAAACAGTAAAATAAAAAAGGATATGCAACTTCTAGTTTAGGATGTTTAATAGTAAAATTCTAACTCTTACTTTCAGGGTATAGAGGTGAATACATTATAGCTTTTTGGCCGGCTTGTTCATCTATGGAAGATGGCAGGAAGTAGTAATGACCCGATGGCGTGTTGGTGGTGTGATCGCTGTCTGGTCCTGTGTTTGGGTTAGCTGTGCTACCCGAGTGCCTGATCCAGTCAAAGTCATCTGATGTTGCCTGCTTCCAGTTACAGCTGCCCTCTTCAAAATCACACACATCTAAAAGGCAACACAATTTCAAAGATGTTACACTGTTTTGTAGCCATGAAACTATGCAAGTATCATTTTCTCTATACTACTCATTTGATTGAAAACAATAACAAAATTTGGGCTGTGCTATATATCAGTATGACAGCTGCTGAACATATTTGTGGTATGTAGATTGTACCCAAAAGTTATTTTTTTTAGGGGGGGATTAAGAACAGCACATCAAAGCAGTTGCTGCATATTTATGCCTATTTAATAACAACTATGTGCTAGTTTTTTTCTCCCCTTCAACCTTATAAATGTTTTTAAATTTTGTATCAGACTACATTAACACTGATGAAATCGCAACAAATCAATTTTCATTTATCTACTCAGGAAAATGTGTGGAAATTAATTTAGTGAGTGATATGCATGCTATTCCTATGTAAAGGCGTGTTTAGAAGTAAAATTATGTAAGGAATACCTTTCTAGTGCAATGAAAAGTCTGATTAGTGTGAAAAGAGCACAGCCAGAGAAAAGAGAAACCTGCAGTGGATGCTTAGCGATTTATGCTGGAGAACAAACATCTGAACCTTTTCTGTCAATTCATATCTTATCAACAAATCAGGGGTGGATGTGGTTGTGAGATAGAGCGAGGGAGAGTAGCTGAAAAAAAGCTTTTTCCAAATTGACAGATAAAACAATGAAAGTAATAAAAATAATTGAACTTTATTGATCTCACATTGGAGAAATGTACCTCTGCATTTTGACCCATAGCTTGTGCGACGCCCCGGGAGCAGTGTGGGGTTAAGGGTCTTGCTCAGAGACCCAGAGTGGAGGCTGTGGCTGTGGGGATCGAACTTGCAACCTTCTCAGAACACAAGCGTACTACTATAACCCTATAGACCAACCTTCCCGAAAGTTATTTTTGGTTTGGTCAGGGGTCCATAATAAATAAAAAATGCCTACCAAGAGGAATAAATTGATTTGCAAAGTTTAACGTTCAGTCTGTGATGAACAAAATGGGAGAGGTGAGTGTTAAAGAGACATTATGTCAGTTTAGACCGAAAAATACAGTGTCTTGGGTGTCTTTTGCTGGCGCAGTGGTTAGCTCACACAACCCATGTATGGATGCATCAGTCCTTGACGTGGCCGACCCGGGTTCGAATCTGGCCTGTGGTGCTTTCCTGCATGTCCCTCCCCCTCTCTCATACCCCCTTTTCTGTAAGCCTACTGTCCATAAAATGAGCCACTAGTGACGTAAAAACTCTAAAAATAAAATAAAATTACAGTGTCATTAAAAATGCCTTTTTATGTGACCTTTATGACTAAACATAGTTTGATGAGTAGAGTGACACCTCAGTAGTTCAGCGCAGTTGCATCTAGAAGCCTGAATATACCCTTAGTCTGAATTTTCCATGCTGTTCTGCAGATGTGACATCAGGGATTCCATATTCAAGAGGGATTTTGTGGATAGTCAGAAGTGACCAGCCTCGAACTCAACTCAAACCACAATGACAACTCCACACAAGGTGAAAAAAAGTACATAAAAATAAAATAAAATAAACTTTGTCAAGTACTAAAGCAAGCTAAAACTTCTCTTTCATGGAAAATAGCAGGTAAACATGTGTTTTTCAAATATCGATCGACCCACTAACAATCGGCATTTGGCTCCCTTCCCATTGGCAAAATGAGCTGGGTCTAACTCCAAGCTGGTAGCTGTGTGGCTTCTGTCCCCCTTCTGGGTGTGACCATCACGCTTGGTTAGCATTCATGCTGTCACCAGTGTGACAGAAATCAGGAAGGTAAACAATGGAGAGAGACGTGTAAGGAAGCCCGGGGCATAATCAGTGTCCTTTGTTGTTTCACTCTATTATCTGTCTGAACCCCTCCCACCAGTGCTGCGCCATGTTTATCGAATGAAAACAGAATTGATTCGGTTTGCTAAATCAGACACGACTTGTACGGTGTGTTGACCTTCGATCATTGCGCTGAATGATATCATGTAAATTAGTGGGTCAACCCAGCTCTGGTGTTTCCACAGCATGCTGGTCAGAGATGAGGCGATTTTAAAACGGGTCGCTTGCCGAGTCATTTGACCCGGATAGACATCCGTCAGTGAGCTGCTCCCACTGCCACTAAAAGTCAATTGTTCCCAGGGTTTAAACATGTTTTTCGGCCAGTGGGAAAGGGGTAGAAGACAGTAGACAGAAGTGTGTTGCAATTCTGTGTTGTGGCGATGGGTTGCAGTATCATTAGAAAACTGTATGCCTCTTTAAATACCAGAAAATATTTAGAAAATGTTTATATTATAGAAAAAAAAGAAAACTGATAAATCTTATTATGTTTTTGAGAATTTTATTACCAGAGTCAGGACATGGCCCATGGATAAATGAGATGTCATCGATGGCTATGTCCCCAGCCTCTCCCCCCACAGTCGCCTCAAGAATCACTTGGTGTACTCTTTGCAGGGTCACATGGCTATGAGCCAGCAACCACTCATCCCCTTTGTTTCCTGATTGTTGCCACACCTACAGGAAAGACAGAAGGCTGAATCACTTCTCATATTGAGGATGTGAGGAGGCTTATGCAACCCGGAGGTATTTACTAAAACTAAGCAGCTTGGACCTATGGTACCATGCAAAAATATACTTTTGCAATCATCATTTCACAACTGTGAGAAGTTTGTTTTAACAGAAAGAAAATTAAAAGGAAACAGCCTCAATATTACTCAACCGACTGCATGGTTGTCTTCCAGGCTATACATGATACAGTATAATCTACAGTCTCAGCATTTAAAACAAAAGACCAAAGTTGTATAATATATAATAGATTCTAAGATCTTTTTTGTGTTTTACCAGTGTTTTGTCCAATGAATCAACTGTTTTCAGAAACAGCCTCAATGAACCGACTGTAGCGCCGAACATGTAGTACCAAAATGTGAAACAGTATCCTTGTTGACCAGCTGGTGGCAGCAGTAGAGACATTAGCTGGGCTGTGTTTCCTTTTCCACTTGGATGGGAGCTCTCGATATAAAGGTACTTCCCTGCAAAATAAATATGAAACCTTTGTGAGCTTTTTTCCTTTGTTAAAAACAATAATCTGTGTAGTTAGCACTTTACAGTTTCCACAACACTTTGCATTTGTAGAGGAAAAACAATTTGCAACATTTTCACTTTCCTCATGGCAGATGTTTTTTATATGGACTTTATTGCTTTCGTTTGTGGGCCGCAAATAGTAAGGGCTAGCACAAGACCAAACAGAGAACAGACAGATCTGAAGGTTGCAAAACAAGATAGCATTTTTGCATATCTTATTTGCATATTTAATTGGAATGGAATCCCACCACATGTTGTACGCACTACAAGCTGTATAAAAAACTATAGTAAATCCTAGGGTGCTGATGACACTGAAATTGATATCTGATTCATAGCTTATAAACTGATTCTACATTGAAGGATTGTGTTATTATTATTTTTTTTTTTTTTAGGTCTGGGCTATGTTAAATTATCTCTTTTTTCAAAGTATTTAACATTTTACAGTGAATAGAGGCTCATCAAAGCCCATTTGGAGAAATATGCTAGTGCAGTCATCCAGGACAAAACCAATACATTGCCGTTTTACATAAGTTTTAAAATTTGATGTTAACAACATAAAACTGAATATTTTTATTAGTCTTGACATCAGGAGAGTCGGAGTTCTCCAAGTTCACCCAGGGCACTTGTGTAAGAACTGCCGCTGTGAGTCATAAGTTGTTGTAGTGTTTCTTTCTCTGTAATCAGGTAATTTAATTACTACAGTAGCTTTATTATGTATATGCTGCTAAAGTAAAACATAACTTCTACAAATGTCAGCTTGGGTCACACAAGCTCTTTCTTAGCCAACAATAAAAAATAGTTTCCTTATACACACTCTATAAGTTGAACATGATCGCTGATAGTTTGGCAAAGTAACAACCTGTTCCAGTGGTGTGGTCTCCTGCAGGGCCAGTGTTGGGGGTTTCAGTGGGACCTGACCAACTGAACCAGTCTAACTCATCTTCAGCTCCCTGGACCCAAACACAAAAGCCATCCTCAAAAGTACAACTATAGGAAGACAGGGCTGGGGAGAAAAAAAAAAAGTTTTAATTCAATTAAAACTCTCTGATTAATGCACAGAAAAAAACAACAAATATCCAAATTTAGTAGGAAGTTTATTGGAACCATAGTCACCTGGTGGCTTATACGCTGCCTCACAGTTCATAAAAGAGATGTCATCCACTCCAACAACATGGTCTTGAGTAGAACTAATGTGCCCTGATTCTTTAGTTATGCTACTGAACCTAATCTAAAAAACACAGATAGCCACAGAAATGTTTAAAATCTATGCTTTTTTCCTTTTTAAATGTCATACTTTTCTTAGCTTCGTTTAAAATTTCATTGGGGAGAAATTAGAATTATTGTGATTTATCCTGTTTCTAATTATTTGTTCAACACAGATTATGTACTTTCTATATCTATAACATTTAGAAAAAAATGATTAAGCAGAGTGTAGTGTGCTTCATCATTTCATATCCATAAACATGTCAAAGAGTTTGACATGAAATATTATATCATCATAAAATAATACATTAAGATTTTCATCTTTTACAAAAATAAACAAGATAAAAGTATAGAAATTGTTTTTCATATTTCAGTTTAATTTTCTGAAACAAAAAAGAAATCTGCTAATTTGATGTAAATTCTGTATATAATTAAAAACACTATTAATACTGTATTGTATGGGGACCAATGAAAAGCTTACCTATGAAACAAGCATTATAGCAATGCATACATTAACCCATTCATTGAATATAGTGTGCAGCATGCTGGGCAATCTGAGAATTCTGCATGTAGCGAAATCTAAGTCAGATTGTTCTTAATGTTCTTCCCATGTTTTTTTTTTTTGTTTTTCTTTCCTTATACCTCCTGAAAGTTTCAAAACTCAAAGTCCTAAATATAATGGAGAAACCGTTAATGAATAACCACCTTGTATGGCTGCTGAAACAGCCCTATAGGCATATGTGCTGAGGTCCAGTGGGAGACAGTGTTGTGACTGCGTGACCACAGGATTGCTTCACCACCCTCAGCTTGCTGCATAAGCACTCTAAGTGACCCAGTGCTCCCCATGCTGATGGTGAAGTGAAACCTGGTTGTGTTGAAGAAGGAAGGAAGTGAAGAAGAATGTCAGATTAGGAGGTGGGTTGCATGACAGAGACAGAGAGACAGGAGTTCTTGGGAGGGGAGTGTTATACAATTCATACAATGAAATCAAGTTATCTATTATATAAAATTCTGTTTTAAAAATTAGCGATTTCACAACTTACAGAAGTTGACAGTAGGGGGATGAAGGTGGGAGTTGGGGGCTGAGGAGTTTTGCTTCTGTTTGAGTGGAGCCTAAACTGAGATTTACTGTCATGTAAGAGCCTGACAATGAAAAAAAGAACCAAGTAAGCAACACCGTTTAATTGACTTACATACTGAGGAATCAGTTAACAATTTAAACTTAAAACTGACAGATTCAATATGCAATCTAAAAATACATTAATAAGGTCACCAGTTTGGGTAGTGTGAGATTCAGGGGACTCAGTGCTAGCACCCTTTTGTCTCTGCCATTTAGCTGGTCCGTCACTGATATCACTCCACAGACACTGATCAGTCTCAAATGTGCATGGGCCTAAAAAAGAGCAGCAGAAGAAAATACTTAGTAGTAACATTGATATTTACTCCTAAACCAAACTGACTATAAGGATTACAATGCAACTTTTCACTTTTCTGTTTTTCAGAGAAAATGTATCTGTATTAAAAAAAACAACACCTAGAATAAAAAAACTATTTTCTGATAACATCACTTATATTATAAAGTCAAACATAATTATTTTCTATTTAAGGTGTTTTGAAAAATTATTCTTCAGTGCACTGTTCACTGCATGGAGTTACTCCTTAAGACACATTCCCCCTTAAACTCCACATTAGAGAACTTCAAATATGTCTCATTAGGTGAGTGTCATATCTGTGTTTTTGACTTACAGTGGAATGAGAGCTGTACTGAACGTAATTTTGTTTTGTATACACTCTGTATACAAACTGCAAATAAAGTCTGTCTAAGTCTAAAAACAACTTATAATGTAGTTCTCATTGGTGTTTAAGGGGAGCTTAGGCTCCTGTAAAGTGTTGCTCTGGGTCACATGCTTCATTCAGTGACTGATCAGAACCCCTCAGGCAAGTTACAGAACAATATAATGTAACTTGTAGATATATGCATTTTAAAAGCTTACCACAGCCATCCTCATCTTCTCCTTCAGGGCAGTTTAGATGATAATCACACTGCTGTGTGGCTGGAATACAAACTTTTCCAGCAGACAGCCTGCAAAAAAACTCATTATCCTGCAGAAAAATATATAAATATTTAAAGAAAATGTCCTTGTTTCATATATAATGTCAAGGCAGACGTGCACTTGTTAATTTTTAATTTACCTGACATGGCTTCACAGCAGTGGTCGTTGCTGTATTGAGGGATGTATGCGGGGAAGAGGTGGGCAATGTTTCAGGTAGTTTGCTGTTTTCAGGGTCAAAAATGCATTCCTTGGAAAAAGAAATGTCATCAAGTGCAACAAGCCCTCTTTGACTTGCCCCGAGTTCATACCTGAAAGCAACCTGTATGAGATATATATATTCTTAACATTTTTATCCTATTCCAAATGTCAATATATAGTACTCTTTAAAACATCAGTAAAAAATGATGGTTTAAGTTCTCAAACTATTCTTATTGATTCTCAATGCATACAGTATGTCACAAAATTTCTGTCAAACTTTGAATGTAAGACACCATTTTGTTGGCTCCCACAGACCTTGCTAATGACTGAGGAGGAGAAAGTGATCTCTTCCCTTTTCCAGCTGTAACTGTTAAAACTTTCCCTGATCCACAGCATTTTGTCATTAATACCAGACATCAGTGTTCTGGACTGGGCCGTTAGTTGAGCAGAACCATCATTCAAGCTGAAGTAGAAGAATCTCACCTATCAGATACAAACAAAGAAAAAGAAAATGGATAAGAAATCCTACAGGAAACCAAGATACCCTTTTGCTGCAGACATGTAAGTGTTCTATGTATTTTTTCTCTTTATTTCTTCATTAAAATACTTCATACCTTGTTTGTTGGTAAGATAGATAAGGATATTCCTCAAGCCTTTTGCTGTCGGTACAGAGTGACATCATAGTCATACTAATCTGATATGGGTCGCTTGGCTGTTCCGACTGCAGTCAGATTTCTAAAGAACTATATCTATATAAAATCACATATAAATGTGGCCCAGATCAGACAAGATAAAGTCAGATTCCATGTGATTTGGCCTGTTTACACAGTCATGAAAAAAATCTCACTTTAATCATTTTAGCGCAAAGAATATCGGATTTGGGCCACATTTGGCTGCAGGTGGAATGTAAACTTATAATGATCATTAGGGGGAACCAATAATTTTGCCAATTGTAAAGTAATTATATTTAAAAAATGACCTACTGATTTGGAATTCTTGTCTCCACTTAGTATCTGTACTTAAATAAAGAAATGGTTTAAGAAACTTACAGTGCAGTTAAAGCTTGGTAACAGTGTCTTTGAAATAATTTCAGATAATTGACCCTTCTCAGTGATATGACTTCCTGGTACAACATAGTGACCTGTTTACAGAAAAATCATAGAATACAAGTGCAAATGAACCATTAAAACCAGCTTTAGTTGTGACAGCAATCATCAGAAGCAGTGAAAAGCTTGTTATACCAGTGGCAAAGTTTAGGGTGTGATCTCTTGGGGGGCCATGGTTGGGCCAAACGTCTTCACCTTTGTGGCGTGTCCATTCACCTCCTGGTGTGTCTACATCACTGGTAGCCCAGGAACAAAGGCCATGTTCAAAGTTACAACGCTCCATCACACCTTGATTTTCTGAATGATCAGAGAGTAGCTAGTCACATCAAATTCAATTTAATTCAGTTTATTTATTTTTGCACCAACACAAAATATCAATGCACTTTATTGAGAAAGTTCAGTTAGACCATACAGTCACATCGGTGAAAGGCCATGAGAATATCATTAATGACTTTCACAAGTCCTTTTTCAGTGCCATGATGAACTCTAAAACTTGAATGAGGTCATCATGATATCAGTGGTAAGAACGAATTCTAAATAAGAAAGGGAGATTAGAAATGGGTCTATAATTGAACATTCTTTCAAATCAAGACAAGGGTTCTTAAGTAAAGCTTTAGTGACAGCTACCTAAAAAGCCTGTGACACATATCCCTGTAATAGGGATAGATAAATCACATCTAAAATGCTTGTGTAAATTCTCAGTCATCCGGGTCATGGCAACCACATCTGGATGTGTTGGCTTGCCCTGGTGCGTGCCAACAGAACTGACAAAGACCCCTGGATGTCAAAACATCTTCAATAAAACTGAGCCAAGGTTCAGTGTCTTACAATTTAAGACTGTTTCTGTATCTAAAATGGATGCGAAATCCAGAGGAAATACTTCCCTTAACTTGGTTGGAATTGGATCTAACATAAAAGCTAAAGACTTAGATAAGTTATTTGGCTAACTCTAAAAGCTCAACTGTTTTCAAACAGTTCTGTAGACATCCAATATGTTCTATCACCTTCAAGAGATTAAACAATTATTTTGAGATGGCTGAAAATTGTGATGTTGTTTTTTTAATATTCAATCTTATCTATAAAGAATATGAAAAGAGTATGAAGATAAGGGACTATGCACATTTTGAAGTCAAAGATATTGTTAAAGGGACAATGTGCAAATATCGCTCTTATTTTTCTGCCCTAAATTGATGATTGTATTTACATACCGTTATGTTTTATTATTGGTGTATTATTATCCCCGATAAAAATCAGATACATTTTGTTAGAATATGTCAACATCTTCACTCGTCTGAGTTATTTTATGTTTGTGTTCATGTCTCTAATTTACATTGTACACCTGCAAGTTTTATACCTTGTCACTTTCTGTTTATGTACATGTTGTACTGCTGCTGTCCACTGGGGGGCAATGAGAGCGAGCACTTGTGTGTGTGTGAGTTCTATGTTGTAACAGAAGAAGCTTCTGGATAACTGAAAAGTTATAAAAGCAATAAAATGAACACAGCTGTCTAACAAAAGAAATGTGGTTTATTGGAAGGATGAGTAATGAACAGGAAACACCAACACATTTTCATAATTTAAAACATTTCTTATCAGTTTGTATCTAAGGTCGGTCACTTTGCAAAACGCCATGACAGTCTGCCATATTGAAATTATATAAGGCTGGAGGGGGATAAAAATAGTTCTAACGTGCAGAACAACGTGTAACCCTTGCTGGCGGTTCAATATGATTGTTAGGTGGCGAAGAAGATCATTAGGAGATGCTAACCAAACAACTGAAAGTTTGCACTACTATGCCACCATGTAGGACCAGCAGCAGCACAAGAAATTGTTTCACCATCAACAAGAAAGCAAAAAAGAGAACTTAAAAGACAATAAAACCGGAGCGAGCAAAAAAGGAGGATAAATATAAAGATTTTAAAAGTGAAGCTTTGTTTCTTACTGACAAGTACTACTAATTGAGGAAAGCCAACTTTTTCAATTCTCTTCAATTAGAAAGTATTGCTCTTTACCATAGAAAGCATAACAGAATTGTAGGCAAACGTCGGTTTAGTAGCTTTCAAAGCCATAATACACAATGGCTTTTTGTAACAGTAAATGTCAGCTACTAGAGCATTCTAGAAGCTGACATTTGAAAGCTTTTTAACATAAAACGATCTTCTGTTGAATAAAATCATATTGAATTATTTAAAATTGTTGTACAATTGGACTCATTTTGATTTTAATCAGAGAATCATGAAGTACTCATTTGGGATTTTTTTCCCCAATTTATCTGATTTTGGCTGTGAGCAAGACGTCTGGATGGGGTTTTGGGTGAGTAACGCAAGAGAAGCTTCAGAGATATCTGATGAACTACACTTCTGCTTCCTGGTTTGCACCCTGGGCTTTCAGGGTTTCGGAGGACAATTAATTTGACCAGATTACTAGAGAGAAAAGCTGCACCATCCAAAGAGGGATGGATGTCATTTCTCCAAATTAGACCACGTTTTCCCCAAAAAGTATGCCAATTATCAATGTAGCCCACATCATTTTCAGGACATTACCTAGGTAACCAGTGCTTGAATGACAACATGCGGCTAAACATGTCATCACTGGTAGGGGATCAAGAACATTATGGAGTCAAAACCTTTGGTAAACATGTACACCAAAGTAACACTTATTTTAGTGACCGTGTTTGATCTAACTATATTAGCCAGCAGTTTCAGCTAGGATTTGATGTCCCCCATTTTGACCCTCGGCAAACATTTAAATAAGGATCCTGGTGTCTCTAATGCCAAGTTCCTGAATATAGAGCTGCTGTTAATGATGTGGACTTCTCAGTGGGTATGTCTCTGAGTGGGGAAAGTCGATTTTAACAGGTTAGTAATGACAAGTGGGAAAAGATCTAGGACAGTGCTTTATTTGTACCATCATGCAGTCATACAAGGTTCCTGGCGGTTCAGGAACCACTGGAGGACCACTACCTGGCCATGATGCTGATCTCGGTGGCTCCGAGGTACTAGGCCTGATCTAATGCTAAGTTCCCACTGAATATGTTTTCAGAGTCAAAAATGCACCCACTGCCTCAACTTGGACGCTTGTATATTTTGAGGTTAGATACTCTCGGGTTGTTGAGCTGTTCTGTTCTGATGTTGCAATGTAGAGAACGGGTTGGCTTTATTTACTAAATGATCAGGAAACTGCAGTAACCCAGAGGAAGCCACCAGTAAACTTTGTCTTATATAAGTACCGGTTATATCCACCAGCAAAACAAATCGGAAATAGCAGTGGAAAGCAGCTTGCTACGCCACTGTATCAAATGGTTGATTCCATGTGAAAGTGTGTTCTTATTTAAAGTTAGAGTAAATTTAGCTGCTTACTTTTTCCTGACAATACTGTTTCATTACAGAATCACATATATAAATATTTCATATGACATTTGTTATCTCCAAACTTTTATGGATTTCAAAGGAAATGTAAAACAACATTTGTAGTTTACCATTTATCAACACCATTTGCAATAACTCACCACAGTGAATCTCGTCAGACCAGTCTCCACAGTCATCACTGAAGTCACATACATGGTTAAGGTCAACACATACACTGTTGTTGCATGTGAATGTACTCTCAGAACACCACAACTGGGGCTCTGCAAAATTGCAAAGCTTCAAAATTAATGAAAAGTTAACTTTCTGAACAGACAAAAGCAAAATAAAAACTGGCCTACCAGGAAGGGAGCAATTAGTGAAGTCAACATCATCAATTGCAACATATCCTGGTTCATTAAAGTTTCTGGAAGCTTCAAACAGGAGGGCAAAATCCTGGGGGATCCGGCCAATCATGACCTTGCCATGCTGCCACAGATTTCCCTTGTTTCCAGCTAGCCACCACAAATTGGTGATCCTAGAACCATCTTTTATGAGCACGTTAAGCTCTGAGTCTGAAACAGTTCCACAAATGCTTACAAATAGAAATCCAAGAACTTTGTATTTCAAAGGTTTTACATCTTTACAAAGGTTTTCATCTCTACACTTACAACATAAAATATAACACGTACCAGTTCCATAAATGTTGTAGTAAAAGTGTAGTGTACAGGTGGAGCTGGCCTGTTTCATTTCAAGACTTTGCAGAGTGGCAGGGCTAATTTCTTCCCCGCGATCAGCCTCCAGCCCCATGTACCAACCTGAAAACACCAACAAAAGCTCAGTTTGATATACAAACTTGTGTGAGATACGATGCAACAAGAAAATGAGGGTAGAAAATATATTGCAAGAAAATATATTGATGTGTTGCACCATTTGTTTGAAATATTTGAAAGAATCAGTAGAAGAGGATCTTTGAATCCAAGAATAAAACCCTAAAAAGCTCAAATTCAGTGGTGCAGATTTTGAAAAACATCAAAGAAGGAGGTATTTCCTGTTCAAAACAGGCACTTCAGTGGCGCAATCTGAGCTCAAGTAAGCATGAGGAAATTGCGGCCAAAAACACCCAGCATTCCTAACATTTGGTGCACAAAAGAGGAAACTGAAGAAAAAAACTCATATTCAGCTTCTTTATTCTTTCAAACAAACCACTCATAACATCGGAAACAGCTTTTTATGTACTGTGGAGTCATGCTGATTCTAGGGCTATAAGTCACACTTTCTTTCTGCTTCATTAAGCTGTAGCTGTTCTCCAGTTTTGAGTCTGACAACCTTACCCAGCTCAGTGCCTAGTGTGTTGTCCACAGAGGGTCCACTGTTCTCTGTTCCATTCCTTCTTCTTACCCACTGAGCCTGACCAACACTGATATCATCCCAGCCACAGGTGCCATTTTCAAATGTACAGCCCACAAATCCTCTTGTGTAATTTTCTACATAAAAGCAAAGAAATGTATTAACCACAAAATATACTTCTAAATTAAAATAAGTAAAAGACAGAAAATATTAGTATCCTCACCTAGACAAAGGCCTTGCATGAGACTGATGTCATCAATGGCAATAAATCCATTGTTGTTGCTTTCTGCCTCAATTAAAAGCTGTGGTTGAAAATATAAACACCACAAATAATACATGGTTTTCAAACAGTTTTTTATTTAAAATCTGAAGTGTGTCACATGACACAATGGGCCCAAGATGGGGCTGCATATAATGGCTGTGTTAGGTATGTCTTGTGTTGTTTTTTTGTGCTTTATGTTGTAATTCCCAGAGCTATTTATTTATTTTCTACTTTTTCCATCATCATTGGAATGAAATTAAATGTTCTTTTCAAGGGCAGCTTACGTTGTTAAGAGCCACAGAAGAAGAAAACTACCTAACCAGCTAATGGCCCTTTGTCATATGAGGTTCGATACACCACTATCAGAAAATGTATCCTCAATGTGCATTTACTGTGCAACAAACTGGGCAAACTATAAAAACTGGGGGACAATAGGAAACCTAAAGTCATCGTCTGTTTCTTTCTGGCTTCCAGCTATAATGAGTGGACCATGAAATATAACTGTCCTGCAGAGGTGACTGTTTTCACATCAACAACAGCTGTTGTACCAATATGACAGTGCGACTCTCCTAATCTGGAATATTTTGTTATTAACTGAAAAAATGTTTGATGCCCCCCCCTTCCACTGAATTTGCTTCATTTACCTTGGTTGGTGTTTACCTTTCACTATTGGCCAATACGGATGACTCACAGCACTGCATGAAAAGTGGGATTTTCGTCAATATGCGGCACTGTAGATTGTCGTGTAAGTTCAGGTTAGCGGCAGTTTACGACAATTTGCAGGCTTCGCTGAAAACTCCCATAAATTGTCAGAAATTGACGTGGGCTTTCTTAGGCACTGTTCCCCCCATGCCTCCCCACCATGGAATTCTAGGGGAGGCTTTAACATGTAAATGAAAATGCTGTGAGCTATACAAATGCAAATCACGGTTGCAGGGGGAGTTTTACCCCAAGTGACATTTTTCCAAAAGGTAAGAAAATCTGTGATACAAAGAGATCAGGCTCAGTATAGACTCTTACATTTTAGCTTGAATTGATTTATTTAATTAAAGTATAGAGACCAAAACAGATCTTTAGCTGACAGAGCAATACATTTAGAGCAGTAATTATTAAAAAAAATTTGCATTTAAGATAAAAAAATAAAACGTTCTCTGTCAATATGCTCAATTCACAATTACTTAAGTGGAAAAGTTTCAAGAAATGAGTCTGAGATTATTCACTTTATAACATGGCGCATTATCCTGCTGGAAGTAGCCATCAGAAGATTGGTACACTGTGGTCATAAGGACATAAGGTCAGGAACAATGCTGAGGTAGGCTGCCTCATTTAGCTTCCTGGCAAATGTTCATTTCCTGTATAAATTCATTCATGTCCTTGATGGTAGCCTAATAATTGTGTAGTAGTGTAGGATAACATAAATACACAGCATATGAATAAATAAATATATGAATGAAAAAATATATGAATAAATAAATAAATATATATTTATATTAGGGCTGCAACTAACGATTATTTTAAAAATCGATGAATCGGCCGATTATTTTTTCGATTAATCGATGAATCGGACACAAAATATTTTTTTTATATTAACCTCTTTATTCCAAAATAAACATTTTAGACAGAACAAACAAGCACACACGTATAGGTTTCTCATTAACTGTACTGGTGCAATATGAAAAATAAATGTTTGTGTTAAAACTATGCAAACTTACATGAGAAATGTAGCTGTACATCCACAAAATATAGGAAAATTTGTTTCATAAAGCGCAAAAAAAGACATTTTTGTTTTTAAAAGCCCCTAAGGGGTTCAAACAATAGGCCCCCCCCATTTCAACAAATGAGTTTTTTTTAGACTAGAAGAGTTCTGCCTTTTAAGACAGGAAAGTATAGCAGTTAAAGTTGCTACTTGAGAAAATACTTAACCATAGAGATAAAAATAGCCCTGTGATTCAAATTATAAATTGTATTTGGAATAAAAATGAGAGAACTAGGGGTGCTAAAAAACACATCCTCCAAAGACAGATATTTACATGGGAATGTGGCAGATAATTAATTGACATATTACTGATCTTGCTGGATTTTATTCTGCTTTACTTCCATAAATTGCAGGATCTTCTTTACTTTATCTTTGCCAGAAGATTTAAACTTTAAAAGCCTTGCCCTCATTATTTGCAAGTTAATTTATTTATAAAGAAAATATAAACGCTGCTTAAGCTAATTCAAATGAAATTAAAAGTAAAATAAGAAGCCAACCTTATCACTGTCTGTAACCTACTAACAAGCTAAGGAAAGCATCAGATGAGCTACCTGTAACTTACGTTTCCCCACTTTAAAATGAAACAAACATGGTTACTCATCCTGCTGATGAGCTATCTTCACTGCCATTGAAGGCTCCAACGTGTTTTCTTTTCAGGTGCTGCGTCATAACAGTGGTGCTTCCGTGCCATGCTCATTTGTTTTTTACAAAAGTTGCATGTTACGACTTTTTTCACTTTACAAAGCGCAGGCTATTTTAATTATTGTGATCAATTTGCGCCGTCAATCCCGGGGCATGCGCGCTTCATTTGCAGTCTGGACGCTGAGGGTAAACTCCTCACTAAAATCCTGCGGCTCGGACTGCACGCTGAGAGGGATTCTGTGGGAGAGGGAGAAAGGCATTGGGATGGGGGAGGCGCCCCACGGCAGCAGCTGCCGCTGTAGGAGAAGAGTAGGAACGATACATGCTTTCACGTAAGAGTCTCCAAAAGCCGCCAGTGACACCGTAAAAAGTCGCCAGATTTGTCGCTAGTCGCTTTTTAAAAAAATAGTCGCTGGAGGGGTCTGAAAAGTCGCTGAGTTGGCAACACTGCAACTGCGGCGCTGACTCGCTCCGCCATATTTTTTTTTCTTCCCCGGGATGACGGCGGCGGCGGATGACGCATTAATCGCGCGACACAACTAATCGATGATTAAATTCGTTGCCAACGCTTTTAAAAGTCGATTTTTATCGATTTTATCGATTCGTTGTTGCAGCCCTAATTTATATATATATATATATATACATATAAATATATATATTTACATATATATTTATGTAAATATATATATATGCCAACCAATCACGAGCGATTTTACTTGTTTAAAAAGAAGTGGTTCCATCCAATACTCAGTAAGAAAATTAAAGCCTGGCGTGGCCACGGTGGTTTTGCTGCCAATCACGAGCGATTTTACTTGTTTGAGAATAGTGGTTTTAGCCAATACTGAGTAGGTTATTCAAGCCAGACCTGGCCAGCCGCACGGGTTTGCTGCATTCATATGCTAATTAGGGCCATTAGTACAGCTGATCGCTCTCCACATACGTCAGAGTCCGTTCCCGACAATTTGTGGCACTGACAAACGGCGACAAGCGCGGGTTGCAAATTGTCGGAAACTGACGAAAATCAGGGAGATCTGCGGGAGTTTACGGGGACGAAAATCTCACTTTTCATGCAGTGCAGTGCATGCTGACAAAGTGCTGTTTGTGGAGCAGAGAAACCTGGATTCCTTTTAATTTTTTCTAAATGACAAGGGGAACCTCAGCCAACAATTCTTGCAGTAAAGACATGTTATTGAATCTCAACAAGAGAGGAAACAACTTTGGGTCACTGCTACACCACAGCTCACAGGGCCTATCAAACCATCCCCTGTGCAACTCTGCATCAGTATGATGAAGTGATGGCACACACCATTCCTGAATACAGGCCGAAATAAAAGTGATAAAAGGGTACTTGGCCTAGGGGGACGGTCTACCTGGGCTGCAAATGCCTGGCACCCATGGGTATTAAAGGACTGTATGGATGTGTGGGCCTGGAAGGGCTGTGACTCACTGGAGGCGGGTTGGGCCCTTCGGCAGTTTAGCTACCTGATCTGCTGCCTGTGGGAGTGGGTGTGTGGTTTATAGCAGGATGCCAAGAAGGGCTGTTGCTGCCAGCCCAGTTGGGGGGTTGTTCCTCTTGGAGATGGGCCTGGGTAAGAATATGTTTGAACATCATGTTCCTCATCAAGAATGAACAGCAAAGGATGTACTACCTAAAGAAGATAAACTTCCACCATCATTGTTCCCACCCCCTACTCCTCCATCACCATCTGGTAGCAACTGCCACCAAAGGGGACAAAGACAGAATTCAGCTTATTATTCGCTCCATATAGGGGATGACTGACTGCAATCCTCCTTCTTTTCATGAACATCCAGCAAAGCAGACCAGATTTCACCTGACACCTCTGACCCTGGACACACTCTACCCTGAGGCAGAAGGCTGTTTTCCATTAAGACCAAACTCTACCAGCACAGAAATAATTTCTTTGTATCTGCAACATACTCATGAACAAGGTCTAGGTTCTTCACTGACACCTTCCTGTTACAAATAATACAAATATATTGGCACAGGGGAATACTATTCAATTTCATTTAATAATGTTGTCATTATCTATTGTTTAGATCTGCCATGGCGCTCTTCCTCTGCAAAGATTTTACACTATTCTTTATTCTCATAACATTGCTGTACAACTTGCATTTGTTTATTGCCAATGTATCAATGGATACGTTGGAGCAAACCAAGAAGAATGTAATTAGCCACCAACTGTATGCCCAAAAAGTTGAAAAAGTCAGATGATACCAAAGCTGAACCGTTTTGCTCTGCAAATTTCTCCTCGTGGCAAAAAAACTAAGCCTTCAAAATACCTTGAACACACCATCATCACCTTTAAATATGTTGGCACCCATATACCAAGCAGACTTTAACTGAATTTAAGTTTTCAGGTCACAATGAGATTGGGGTGTAGATTATGTTCCACCTGGACGAGAACCTTAAACAATTACCTAGGTCATAGTTCAATAAAATGGAATAAAATATAATCATGGGTTGGAACGGCCTAATAACAGTTCACACCAAACTTCTGCTCAAATTGTTCTGCAATTCTCTCTGCGTTTCCCATAAAAGAATGTCATATGTCTTTATATGTGTGAAGCATTTACTCAAAGAAATTACCCTTTAATTCCAGCGGATTGTGGTTCTAAAAAATATAATTTTGGGCTGGTTTAATAAATATACAAGATTATATTTAAACAATTTTAACAACGTTGAGAGCCATATTTTCCTTTCCTTCAGTTCTCCATGTTTGCAATACTTTGTGCAGACTTATTAAATACTATCCCAACTAAATGCAATGAGCAAGTTCAAGGAGTATGAATGCAGGTGTGTGTGTGTTTTTTTTCCGTTTACCTGAAAAGGTTTGGACATGTCCACTTGGTGAGAGAATCTGGTCCAGCTGTTGACACTATTGTTTACGTGAAATATCAGAGTCTCCTCCGCTGGGTCTGAACGTGCAAACAACTGTAGTGTGCCAGAATAACTAAGAAAATTTGAAACCAGATTTTATTAAATTAGTGCAAAGTTAAATAATCTATGATATATTTCCAAAATTTTCATTTAGGTAGCTCCTGTTCATCTTTTTTTGTGAAACAAACACTTATGTTGCAATGGCTAATAGGAAACAGAGGTCAGTTTGTTAAACGATGTTGACGTTTTCTGTATGTTGTCTGTGGGGTAAAACTCTCTATGGGTTCATTATCAGTAATAGTCCGCTGAACTCTGCCACACAAACTCTTAGTCTTGCACAAAGTCAAGCAGGCGATCCATGACTAAATGACTTTTGTTCACGCTTCCTGTGGAAGTTAATGACGAAACTAAATAACACAATGAAGTCCTTTCGTATACTTTTGTCACTCTAGAGTAAAAATTGAAAGGGTGATGCTATTTTTTTTTTACCTGCTGCCCATATGGTACCAGAAAGTGAGACAAAACAGGGTGTTATCCAGTTGGATCCATTCAGAGACAATCTGTGCAACACTCGGCTGGCTGCTGTGCAGTGCTGAGCTCAACAAAAACCAACCTATAAGCAAACAGAAGATTGAAACTAAGAAAAACAAATTGAATTTGTATGTTGTGATAAATCATAAGTCATCAATTGAGATGTTTAAAACTACATTTTCTCTGTTTATATGTGAAATTTTATTTCAATATACAGTCAATCTGCTGGCTGAGGTTGAATAGATAACTTTATCTAAAGAAATGTAGGCTAAAGGTATTTCATTACAGGGGCTTGAAGAGGCAAAGCTTGAAAATGAAAATAAAGAAGTCACTTAAAAATGCCCTATGTATGGGATAAGAAAATAAACCATAACCAAAACAAAAAGGTCCTGGAACAGCTGGAAGACTTTTGCTGTAATTATACTGTAAAAATATTAATTGAGAGACTGCTTGAAAGATACACCGATTTTGTTTTACATTGTAAAACGTGTATTTACTTAGATTCAAAATACAGTTTGGTATGCTATAATTTTTTTTATGTTCTTAATTACTGATTTCCCTTTCAGGATCTAAGCTCTTTTCAAAGGATTTACCATCTGAGGTTTGAGTGGTATGGTCCTGCGGTGGTCCATGGGATCCTCCCTGGGACATGACCCACTCATGTCCGTCTTCTTTCTGCACATTGACCCAAGTGCATTGTCCAGACTCAAAGTCACAGCTGGCAGCTGGAGCACAAGCCCCATCCCTCATAGAGAAATCATCTATTTTTACTGTATCGTTCATGCCAGGTTCGTGGACAGCCTGAAATACTACCTGAAATAAAAGAACAACTTCTCAAGGATCAGTATTTTTGGAAGTGGAAAAAAGTAAAAATCTCACCCAGGATACAAGCTACTATAAACACACCCTCTCTGAACATTTCATTTATAAATACTTTCATTTACATTGAAAAGTGCAGGAGAGGACACTGTAACTTCGGCCACCTCCCAGTTTTTAGAAGGGAATCCAGATCGGTGCCAAAGAGCATCGCCAAGGTCCCCACTTCTTAGTACATGCACGGAAAGATGGTTGGATGCCTCTGCAGGCAACATGTACCTGAAATAGGTATGTATATGTATATTTATACCCAAGCTAAAACATGATTTGTGCTATTGTGTAGAAAATTAGTGTTTTGCCAGTATTTGACCTACCAAAAGCGTAGGCACATCTCTGTTGCAGAATTGAGCTCTGGTGAGAGCAGCAAAGCTGTCTCTAACTCTGTAGTATTTGGATTCATCGCAGACATGTAGAAGCCTGCAAAAAACAAAATGAACTTCTATTTCACAAAAGTAACTTCTGGGATTACATGTTCTCACATCCCTTTTTAAAAACAGCCTTAATCTAAGATATATAGAAATCAATGCAATTAATAACTACCAGTGTTGGGCACGTTACTTTGAAAAGGTAATTAGTTATAGTTACTAGTTACTTCTCCCAAAAAGTAACTGAGTTACTAACTGAGTTACTCCACAATAAAAGTAACAAGTTACTGGTAAAAGTAACTATTGCGTTACTTTTGTGTTTCTCGCCCCTGTAACCTCACCACCCAGCCCCCACCTTCTCGCCGTGTGTTTCAAAAGCCAGCTGAATAGAGCGGACGACAAAGACAAGAACCTGCAGAGAGTTCTGCATTTATTGCAACTCAACGTAAATGACATCAGGGGGGAACGCGATGTAAAGTTTTTTAACAGGGCATTCAGATCTGGTGAGTGTATGAAATTAATAACTGGGGATGTCTCATTCTGAAATCCTGTGTGTTTGGGTTGTTATAGATACTGAAACATCTATCTATCTATCTAGATGTATACTCTGTGTGTGACATAAAATATGGATCTCCATCCCTGCCACAAAGGCCATCAAATAATGTTTAAAATAAAAAATACAGTAGGTTGAAAAGGCAGAGTATCCATCCATCCATCCACCCATCCATCCATCCATCCATCCATCCATCCATCCATCCATCCATCCATCCATCCATCCATCCATCCATCCATCCATCCATCCATCCATCCATCCATCCATCCAGATTCCTCCCTTTCTCCATATAGGCTATCATTTGATCGTTCACGTTCTCCATAGTTCTCCTGTGGCGCGAGCACAGGGCGGCTGTTGCGCGCCTTTAGCGAGCATGCGTGTTTCCTGTCGCTTGCATGGTGAATTGTGCCGCCTGCGCTGTGCGGAGATGCAGGGGAAACCATATGTGATGGGGAAACGCAGCTCGACGTAACACAGGTATTTCCATCTGGAAAACGCTGTTTTGCTGCTGGAGTCATCCTCACTCTCTATCTCTCTGTGTTTGCTGTGCGTTAACACCCACCAGCAGAAACACCCACCTACCCAACTGACAGACGGAATCTCACTAAACATCAGCCAATCTCATCCTCCCCTCTCTCATGACAAGGCGCGCAGGAGTCCTATCATGAAAAAAGGTTCATTGTGCGACCTGAGTAACGCGCAGTAACGGGGTGTCTGCAATGGTAACTGCGTTATAGTTACAGTCAAAGTAATTAGTTAGATTACTCGTTACTAAAACAAGGTAACGGCGTTAGTAACATCGTTACTTTCAACGCCGTTAGTCCCATCACTGATAACTACTACAACTAATGGAGAAACATTAGTGATATTAGTCTATTGTTGGCTATATTCTGCGAATGTGGAAGGAGTGTTTGGTGGTTGAAGTGTTTGGTGATTGGGAAGTTGGGGTATCGCTGCATAGACTCCTGCTCCTACGACTCGGTCCCAGATAAGTGGTTGACTATGTGTTTATACATAATGAGATTATGTGTATGAATAAATCTTATGTCCAAATATTAAAGAGGTTCAATCTAAAGGTAAAATCTAAATCCAATTATATATTTTAAATCTAAATATATACCTCAAAACTGCAATTTGAAAATGTATCTTCAAATCCTATTTCTAAACTGTGATTTAAAACCCAAAATTCATTATAAACACTTTTGTTTATCAAATGTTAATAAAGATAATTAATTTTCCCATTTCCATATAGTTTTACACCTTTATAAAATCTTTTTTGCTATTACATTTTCTTTTTACTATATACTCTGCATTTAGTGTTTCTGGGACCCGTCTTGTCCCTGTCCATTTTCTTAACAGTTTTCTGTTTACATTTATAGCTTTTGTGTCAGACTTCTGGTCCCTGTGGACACTGGCAACCAACTTAAAACCACAGTTGTTCTTTTGATGTGACAAGCTCTCCTACTCATTAACCAGATTTTCTGCTCCACCTGCCTCCTTTGTACACCAGAGAGAGTGGGAACCATTATATTGGCAAACTAACAGTTTCAGTTGTTGATGTAGTCAGCTAAAGTGATAAAATCAACTCTGAGATTTAAGATTTTTATTAAGGATACAAGATATATAGTATGTAGAATAATGATAATAGGTATATATTTATATTTTAATTTAAAATAAAAGTTCTAATATATCTAGATTCAACATTTTGGGATTTAAGATTAAGATTTAAGGAATACTTTTAGATTTAGGTTTCAGATACGAGATAAAAATTAAGGTATAAATTTCAGATATAGGTATACATTTAGGATTTAGATACCAATATAGGATGTTGGAGGAGATCTCCATGGGAAAGAGGTCCCTCTGGAATTATGCATTTCTTGTATCTTCTAATGTGTTTTACATATTTCTATTTTTAATCATGTCATAATTATTACCAAACTGTTATCTTCTTCACATGCCCAATTTTGTCGCGCATTCCCGGTTCTTGTATAAGGCACGCAACAGACAGCTAACATTAAGGTGTAGAAAACTCACACATCATCAATGATAATTATCGTCACAGTGCTCTAGGCACAGTGCATGATATGTGTGCACTAGGAGAAATATGTTTAAAGCTGCATGGGTTTGTTAAACCAAGTTCTAATACTGAGGAAAAAAAAAATGTAAAGGAAAATGTAAGGAGCTAAAACCCTAAGTCGAACTTATCACTTCATTTTCTTTAGAACTGGTTTAGTTATTTTGTCTGTTTATTTTATTTAAAATACAATGTAGTTATCTATTGATTTATAGATAAATCTGTATAAAAAATTTAACCCATATTTCTGTCAAATATATTTATGTGGCATTAATGGAAGCACAACCTCTTATTATTTTCCCACCTAAAGCACTCCTAGTGCTGTTTCCTTCCAGTTGAAAGATCTTCCCCTATCCTGTCCTGGTCATATTTATGGTTCTGTTTAGTTTGGTTTTGGACTTATGGACTTAGCCAGTACATCCCACTCTCTCCTGCTAAGGCCACCTATGTCTGTATGCTGTACTTATGCCTCTTTCTATTACTACTGGATCCTATGTGCTCTGCCAGCTGAACTCTTCTAGTTGAGATTGCTTTTATCTCCATGCTCCAGTGCTACCTGTTCCTTGGTGAGTGTCAGCTGCTTACTTGCCTGTTTTGCTGGTTTTTCACTCCACACGGCCTATTGGTTCTGTCAACATCTACATCTCCAAATCTCAAATGTAATTCTGTGTCTGGCTGAACATCGGGTTCCCCTACGGCAGGGGTGCTCAAGTCCAGTCCTCAAGAGCTACTATCCTGCAACTTTTTGATGCACCCGATTTTTAACACACCTGAATCAAATGAGTGGCTCATTACCACACCTCTGCTGGGCTAAATGAGGGGATTGAGCCTTTTGATTCAGGTGTGTTAGAGAAGAGATGCATCTAAAAGTTACAGGATGGTAGCTCTTGAGGACTGGACTTGAGCACCCCTGCCCTACGGGAAACCGTCACAGTCCTATCCTTAAACCAGGTCCTTTATCTGGTAAAGTGTGCCCCCAAGGGAAATTGAAATAACTTAATTAAAACTTAAAGCTTTAAGATCCAGGGTAAAGGCTTAAAGTTCCTGCAAACGGAAAAGGGACTAAAATATTTTTACATCGCAGCCCTTGTATTCCTGCCTAATACATAATTTAAGTGCATGATAGACCATTTCATAGTTGGACTCCAGCACAGTTAAGCACTAACCCTTTTCAGAGCCATAGGTGTGATCCACATGATGCTTTGTTCCCATTGTGCGCTTCCAGTGACCTCTGTAACTGACATCGTTTTGAAATCCACACCAATCTGAATCAAATCCACATTTATCTGGAAAAAAACAAATGTGAAACTTAAAATGGTATTATTAAATAAAATGTAGATATATAAAGACTATATTTCAGTCAGAGTTGTTAAATACCCTTATTACTGCAGCTTCCCTCTCTAACTGTAATGTCGTCAAGTGCAATGAATCCTTTACTGCGGACATTCCTTTGTCCACTGAACACTATCTGTTAACAGAACCAGAGAATCAAATAGATAGTGGTAATCCTTTGAAGGCAATACATGTAAAAAAATGTCTTTTAAGTTATTGTTTGCACTTTACCAAGCATGGTCTTAAAACAAAGGAATACATGGTTTTAAAATACAAAGATATTTTAAAATAATCTTATAATTATGGCTGTAGATTTAAAAATAAATTATCCATAACAAGAGCAGCACAGCAAAGTTTAAAATAATCATATACTTAGACAAGAGTTTACCTTAAGTGTGTTGATCAAGCTTACGTCTACTTGAGCTTTTATCCACTCTGGACTTTGGGTACTTTGACGAGTCCAGATCAACAATTCAGAAGAATTCTAAAAAAGGAGGGAATTCTGTGAGAAATGTATTTGGGAAAATGGTTGTAGGAAGTAAACTTCAGTACATACTGTTTGAAGCAGGAGATTCAGTGTGGATACTGATGGTCCTAGCATATAATACCAAAATTCAACACAACTTTGCAACCCTTGATTAGTGACAGAGACGGAGACGACAGCCCTCTCGCCATCCTTTGATCCAGATCCATTCAGCAGTAAAAAGAAACCTTTGATAAGAAAATGAGACTGGCATAAAAAAAAACATATTAATCTATGAAACGTATTTATAGAACCCCACTTAGTTATTGTTAGCTGTTGTAAGGATGTGTAAAATTTCAAAGCAGCTTTAGGAAAAAGAAAATATTGGTTTGGAAAGTCATCTCAGGATTCTCTTTTAAGATTTGCTTCAAGCATGTTTTTTTAGTGTATTAAAAGGTTTGTCCATTTATTTTCTATGTCATCTTAATCATGTGATAACTGTGTGTCACTCGCACCTTAGGCCGCTGAGTGACAAATAGCCTAACATGCATTTTATTTGGATTCTCTCTACAAGGACAATATCCGTCAATGCAGAGCTATTTTTAGCCAGACTATTTTACCTGCATGGTAACAGTAGTAAACATTGTGTCACTGTACCTATGGGTGCAGTTATGCATATTATCACCAAATAGTGGTACCTTGCTCATTGTTAACAGTGTGATCGTACGGAGGTCCATCCCATAGAGCCTCCAGTTCAAGTCCTCTCCTAAGAGTCCAATCAATATCATCCGTGTCCTCCTGGACCCAGTTACAAAAACCTGTTTAATAGGAAAGATGTTCCTCCCGTTATACAAAATAATGAGTTAGGATTAGTGTTCAACAAAACTAAACACCTCATCAAAACACCCCAAAACGCTAAACATCTTTGTTTTACTAGAAGATAAATATTTCACGTTGACCTTCTTCAAAGGCACAGTCCATGTTAGAGGGTGGAGCCCTAGTAGTTGTTGTGGGAGGCATAGTTGTTGTGGGGATGAGTTCATTGCAAGATTTGCCAGGAATGATGTTAATATCATCTAGCGCTAAACTGGCTTCCTTCCCAGGTGGACATCGAGCTTGTAAGATAATCTGAAATTGAAAAGAAATATCAGATTTTAAAATCTTAACTCAGCAAGCACCACAAAAAATAGTATAAAATGTATTTTAAAGTTATAATGCATTAACCTGGTGAAGACTGGTTGAATTGTAATCCACTCTGTCTTGAATCCATGTATGATTCATGAAACCATTAGTACTGAACAGAGGACGGAGTTGACCAGCTTCACGTATGAATACTGTTAGTGTAATGTCTGATGGGTCTGAAAGCATGAGAAAATCATGAGTAAACAAAATGTAAATAAAAACATTTTCCTCATAGAGAGCAAAATTCTAAATACAAGATGAAATTATTTGAAAACTTCCAAATATTACATTTAAGGCTGGAAATATAAACTATAAAAAATAAATTATAGAAGCAGACATTTCTGTTATAGTTACTGCACAGAAAAAAAAAACATTTGAGGTGAGAGCATGACAGTCAATGCATCTAATACAACTAATGTTTTTGTGGGATTATGCATGAGTATCTGCTGTGTGAAAATTGATTAATTTCTTTCTTTTTAATTCTTTTTTTTTTTTTTTGGCTTCAAGTCAGAAAAATTGAGATGGGTACAATGGGAGAGAAAAAAAATAAGAGCCGGGAAAAATAAATGACAGGATTGGCAGGCCTGACAAATTAACCACAGAATAACATCTGAAACACAGTAAGACTCTATAATTATCACTTATCAACCAGTTATCATGTTTTAACAATAACAGAGACTGTGCAAAAAAATTGCATTTAAAACTAAAAGGCTCCAATCTGATATTTTCCCAAGAAAGTCATCTTGAGGATCCCCATGATTGATGCTTTTGTAAAGAACATGATGTGAAAAGATGTAGTTTTGATTGGCACCAAGACAATAATTTCAAGCAGTAACACAAAACCAACCTAAAAACCCTGACTTAAAACAAACAAATCCACATAAATCATAATAGTTTTTTTTAGGCAAAACTCCCCAAAGACATGTCTTTCAAGTGCATCTTCAAACAACTTTATATAGCACCAGTTATCAATAAAAAAAAGATCTACAAAGCAAACCTATCAAAAATGTATTAAGTTGGGTCTAATTCAGTTTGGTCCAAAGATTCCAACAACATTTCTACATTGAGTCCAAACTGTAGCACAGTTTAATCTAATTAGTTAAATCATGTAACAGTAATTGGTCAAAAGTTACTGTATCTGTTCATGACTCACAGTAAATCATAATGGTCTACAGCAATATTTTTATGACCTAGTGAAGCCAGACAATTGCACTTAGTTATAACCTCATAATGATGCCTTCTCTCGAGTAAGCATGTGGTGAGAATGGAAAGAAACCGCTTAATCTGTTTTAAGTGGATAGAATTTTTGTGTACTATTGTTTATCTAGCGCTAGTTGTAATATAAGCTGTATTATGAGTAGATTGGAACATTAACAATTTGAATAGCTTTATTTAGGAAACAAAGGAATCTCAAAATAGACCACTGTGCCAGTTTTTGTTTCTGTTAAAAAGAAGAAAAAAAAATCTTAACCCAAATGGACAATACTTTTTTTTCCTTATTTCTCAGAACCACTTTGAATTAAAAGACAAATGCAAAATTTGTGGGCCTTGGTCACCTCTCAACTAAACTTGCATGTTGTTTAATTAAATAACAAGACGATATGAATATTGTGTACAATTTAAATATTATTTGCCAGTCGACTCAAAGCGTGAAGCTCATATATTATATAGGGCCATTATTAATACAAAGATATATTCCAAGCCTTTTCTTGCAATTTTGGTGATTTGTGGCTTACAGAAAACAAACAATCTACGTGATCTCAGTAAGTTAGAATACTATAAAAAAGTGCATTTTGTTTAACATGGTTTTTACAAGCTAGTCAGTTGATTAACTTAAAATACTGTAGCTGGAAATGTTTTCTGAGCCTTTAAAAAGTTCCCTGACAAAATCATTTGGAAGACCACTGACTTTACTGAGATCAAGAAGAGAGTTATCAACACCCTTCACAAGGAGGGTAAGAAAAAAATGGTCATTGCTGAAGAAGCTAGTTGTAAACAGAGTTTTGTATCCAAGTATATGCTGTACACAAAACACTTAAATTGAAGCAAAAGTGTGGTAGAAAAGGGTGCACCAACATTTGGAAGAACCACAGCATTGAGAGGAATGCCAAGCCAAATGCATTGAAGAGGCTGGGGTGGATCCATCAAAGGCCACGACAATTCTTGTTTTTAAATTAAAGTAAATTTTGCACTGCATTTCGAAAAAAAGGTAGGAATCCATTCTGCTTGAAGGCCAGCATGACTATTGAATTGTTTCTGTAAAGTACCTTGTGATGTGGTGAATTGATGCAATATAAACAAATTGAATTGAATGAAATACTGAATAAAATAGCTGTTATACTTTTAAAATGATATGCAAAAATATAGCACTTTTAATGCAATATAAAATTTCATAAATCAATATTCTAGTATATAGGTTTCTATATTATGGGCTAATAACTCTTGAAACTTACTGATATAAGAACTGTCCACAACAGCATTTTATAGAAGGAACAAATTAAGCTGATTTCACTTGTACAACAGGATATAAAGGGTTTCCTCAACATCAATTTCTGAGTCCAGAAAAGCCTTAAAAATAAAAACCTATACGGTTCAGGGACTAGACACATAACCACAAGCTCCAATAAAAATTTTTGTTTTTGATAACTATTAAAAAAAGAGTAAAATGAACTTACTATAACTTATCCACCCCTGGGTATAGTGCCAGATCTCTATGCAACCACTTTCTACTGCTTCCATAGACTCACTCTCCAATTGGGCGATTTCTTCTCTTTCCGACTCAAAGGGCCATAAATATGCAAAGTGACCTATGGAAACAAAATTAATAGCTTACCTTATTTGCTAATTTTTAACACACAAAAAAATATATGCGATTAAGAAATATTTTCTTTCTGTGCATGCAGAAATAAAAATAGATTCAACATTTTCATGTTCTCAGTTTTAGGTTTTGAAGTAATTAACTCCTGAACACTGCATTTTCTCAAACCTAAATGCTGAATTCATCAAGTCTGGACATAAGTCAGCTTTAAAGCACCTTAACCAATGTCTTCAAAGACTGACTTTTGAAATAAGTTCAAAATGATCCAATACAACATAAAAAGATTCTAAAAAGCTAGAAAATTTAATTTAACTTAGTTGGATAAACTTATAACTTCCATTCTTTTATTACTAGGGATTGCACTGTTTCACTAGTAATATTATTTCCATAATTGATGTGGATGTGTTATTGATTACCCAAAGCAGAATTTGTTGAGTGGTCCTGTCTGGGAACAAACAGACCCTCACTTTTGCCCGAGAGCCAGTCCCACTCCACTCCAGACTCTGGTTGGGGACTGTTGACCCAGCCGCAGAGGTCCATCTCAAAATCACAAAAGCCTTCAATATGTAACAAGGAAAGCACACAACCAGTTTACATCGCTTTAATGCCTACAAACATTACTATGATCACAGTGAGTTAGACATTTTCGAGGAAGGTAACCTGATGGGGGACAGGCGCCATTCATGATGGTAAGGTCATCAATGGCGATATCCCTCATTGTTTCATCTCCAACTATCGCTTCAAAAATTATCTGTGAGAGAGAGAGCAAACCCAAAAAAATAAAATTATAATAGAACTTTACACGAATGTGCTGTGGCTATAAATAACTTGTTCTTGCTTAAAGTTATTTGTTCAAAGAAGTGAAATATAGAAAAAAAAGAAAGCATAGGCTACATGCAGATTTTAACATGATGTTTACATGTTCATTATATTTTATTCATCAATAAAATGTATAAGTGATCATTGAAATAATTCTCCAGGAAATTCCCCCCTCGTCTTTGAAAATGTAATTAAAACTCTTCAGCATTATCAGTAAATTCTGTGTGAAACCATTCAAATGTAATAATGTGTAGGTTTTTAAATGATATTTTATTTCCACTTTAAAAGAATCTAAGATATTGGATAAACAATACACTGAACATATCCAAAATGTAGGGCTATAAAAGTCATACAAGGAACTAAATGACTTAATATGTAATTAAATTATCACCCAGAGATTATAATCTGCAGACATTTGATTTTGTAGTTACCTGATAACTGCTTTGTGGGCTGTAAAGCGTTACCCTCCCATGTCGCCAGTGTGATCCCTGATCTCCAAGTCTTGTCCACAGCTTGGTGGCATTTTCCTGGCTGTCAGTAGTTTGAAGGTAAACATTGAGCTCACCAATTCCTGTTCCTTCCATGTAGTAAAAGAACATTAGACACTCTCCATTAAGAGGTGTGGGCTCCATCGCAGCTGTCATAGCACCTTTGGACCCAGCAGGATGATTCCATAACCCTGCACTCAGGTAATAACCTAGAAAAAGAGGTGAAAGTCTGATAGTACTGCTTAAATATATCAGCTAGCCTTCCGTGCCGATGTATTTTAAAAGAACTTACATTCTTTGTAGATCAATCAAGGATGTGCTTACTTACTTAATAAGTGCATTCTTATAAAGTGAAAGTGATTTTTTATATTATTTATATATATATATATATATATATATATATATATATATATATATATATATATATATATATATATATATATATATATATATATTACACAGAAATTCATGCAATACAAATGTGCTACAGGTTGGTCTGTCAAAAAAAAGAAAAGAAAAAAACACACCTAGGTTTTGTGGGTGTAACATGACAAAATGTGAAAAATTAACACACTACAGATATTCTAGCATGAATGTTTATTTGATGCATATAATAAAGCTAATGACCTTGCTCTGTTCCCAGGGTGTGATCTTTGGTGGGACCTGAAGAGTTTGCCGGCTGGGACATGCCAGTGATCCGGTTCCAGCTGAAGTCTGCAGAGGGTTGGGGCTGCATCCCACAAAGAGAACCCTGGAAAGTGCACTCCCTCTCAGGTGGGCATAAGCCATTCAGGCTAGGGAACACCTTAATGTCATCGATGGCAATGCTGCCCTGTTTTCCTCCTACCACAGCTTCTATAATGAACTGGGAATGATTTGAAGTGAAGATTCACAACATCAATACAGCAACATTATTAAACAGGATAGAACTCTATACTGCATGAAGATAATTTGTGTTCCATATGATTTATTCCTCATAGTTAACAAAATTGTTTACCTAAAACAGAAATGAATTACACTGTTTTTTTAATGGTTATATTATTGAAAGTTGGCCTGGAAATGTATGTAATAATGTTTAGATAGCACAGTTAAAGGCCACTCTAGACAATATCTGTCTGTAATGTATTTTGGAACTAAGCCATTGAGTCATTTATATACTGACATAAGTACTTCAAAGTCTATTCCCTAAGGGACAGGAAGCCAGTAGAAGGACTTTGGAACTGCAGTGATTGCACCACTTTCTTATTAGTGAGGATGTGGGCAGCAGTATTCTACATAAACTGCAACTGTCTGATTCAGTTTTTAGGCAGACCTGTGAAGAGGCTGTTGCAATAATCAATTCTGCTAAAGATGACGGCATGAATACATTTTTCAAGATCCTGCAGAGACATTAGTCATTTGATCCTGGACATGTTCTTTAGGTTGCAAAAGGCTGATGATGCAGCTGTCTTTATGTGCCTCTGAAGGTTCAGATTTGAGTCCATCACTGCAACCAAGTTTTCAAGCCTGATTGGATGATTATAGTTGTATTAACTTTTAAAAGCTCTTACTTTGGTTTAAAAAGTATTTCAGTTTTATCTTGATTCAGCTGAAAAACATTCTTTAAAACACCCATTGGTTGATTTTATTTTTAATGGGTTTATAGTCAACTAGTGTCAATGCTGTGTACAGCTGTGTTGTCTGCATAGTTATGGTAACTTATGTTGTTGTTAAATAAGATCAGAGTTAGGGGGAGCATGAGGATGTTAATTAGGAGAAACCTTAAGATAGAACCTTGGGGAACGCCAAATTCAATTTTTATAGTCTCTGTTGTAAGGTTACCTACTGATACAACAAACCCCTGTCCTTTTAGTAAGATTTAAAATTGGCCAGTGTTGTACTAGAAATGGTACAAAACTGGGCTGATTTATCATTTTCATTAATCACCTGATTAATAAAATCAATTAATTAACTATGTAAAAATGCTGCAGTAAGGTATAATAGCGCTATCACTGTGGTTCTTCTATAGTCTGCATTTCTGTGGATTTCATTGAACACATGTGCAACAGTAAAAGTAATACCTGTATTGGTCTGTCACTGTTGAAAGTAAGATCTGCAAACCACCATTTGTTTCCCTGAGTGCCACTTCGCATCCAGATTACTGTTTCTGGTTCCCCAGAGTGCTTAGTAATAAACTTCAAGGATCCTAATTACAACAATATATCAACAGAAGCTGTGATTTATGATACAAGGATACAAAATATATTCATGTTTGATAGATTAGCTTTGTGTGCAGTGAAACTCATACCAATACTGTTCCCAAATATGTAGTAATGGAAGCTGACACAGATAGTTTGAACTGCAGTTTGAGGGAAGCTGATGAGTCTGGCTGATGAAGACGTATTCAGGTGGTTGCTAGCTGTAATAAGCATGAAATAGCCTGTAGAAAAAGGAAAAACTGAAATAATCCCTTGAGAGTTTATGAAGATCAAGAAATCAGATCATCAAGAAATCAGTTTGTGGCAACCAAGCTCGGACATTTAATCTGTGATACCGGGCATTTGCCCGGTGGGCCGGTCCTAATTTTAGCATACGAGGGCCGGCCCTCCTTAAATCATCCCAACACTTACTCTCCAGCCGAAGCACCTGTGAATGTGACAGTAAATAACTCAAGCAGCTCAAGAAGTAATACAATGTTAACTACTTAAATGATGCATGCAGTATATATAGCCCTTTCTTGTCATACAGGTCCTTGTGATGGTTGGCATATGGTGTAATTTTCTATTACTTGAAACTGTAAAATCATATTTCTTCAAACTGTAAAATCCTTTTAACAAACTAAATTATAATAAAACTAAGGCTCTTTATTTAAACCAAACTATGATGTTCCTCTTATATTTAGCAAATTTATATTAGAATATTTTGCAAAAATATGTTGCGGTCCATGATGGGGTTTTGCATCTAAAGGCTAACGTTTCCCATCTTAAGTCCATTGTTTCCAGGTTGGGATGTTTCCCAATTTGGCAGTTTAGGATGGCTGTCTATTGATGAAAAAAAAAATTCTTTAGATTTATGGCCTAAGAGATCAATAGACTTTGGTTCAAATTGGGCAATTTTCATATATCCAGGTGGTTTATGAAAATTTGTTGGACTGAAAAATGTGAGTCGATGACATCTGGCAACCCGGCTGATGTGGCAGCAAGTGTGGACATTATGCAGCAGCAGTCACTGTCACCTCCGTGTTAATAACCAAAGCCAATAAAACCGCATTACAGAAGTCTTGGTGATGGTTGTCGTGTGATGCTTGAAGATAGATTGGTTAATCCACAAAGTTGATCATACTGTGTTTCACATTGGAGATGCACACATTTCCATGATGGTGTATCAAGGGTGATTAGCAATTTTCTTGGCCAAAAATGTGATTATTTGAAAAGAATATAAAAAAATAAAAACTCTTTGGCCAATCCCTGGAATGGATTGTGTGAAATTGTAAACTTATCATCAAACTTTCTTTCTTATTGGTATTCCCTCTTGTTCTGTTACATAGAGTGGAGTTTTGTGGATTTTCTCCCACAAAGCCATACCTGTTTTTTCTTCTTTAGAGTTACCATGATCCTCTTTGCCAGGTCCCTGATTAATAATCTTATCTCCGTTCCATTAGTTAAGGTTGGTGGCCATGTCTAGATAGCTTTGTAGTTGTAACATACTATTTCCCTTTTTATATCTTTGGTTTGATAGGGATCTTTCTATCATATACAGCAATATGACATTACAAATAGATGACTGGACTTGATTTTGGGGTGTTAGATTCAAACATATGGATGCCAAACAATTTAATTAATATGAAATATAATTTTTTTTGGCTGATAACGTGAATTTTTGCAGATTGTTGAGCAATCAGAAACCAAAAGGTTATTAGAATGCCTACCATTTCCAGTGATGTCTGTATACACCCCATTGCTTCTCTTCCACAGAAGACTAGCTGTGTAGTCGTGGAACCAAGAGCAGGTATCCTTTTCAAAATCACATGACAGTTGGTCTGATCCCTCTGGGATGTCTCCCTCTGCACAGTTCTCAAAGGTGATATCATCCAGCATAACATCTTTGGATTCCAGAAATGAAGGATTGTATGACAATAGCAGCTGTTTTAAGAAAAATATATGTATTAATTTTGGAATATTGAAATTCACTTTTATGATTTGTATTTGCCCTGCGATAGACTGGCAACCAGTCCAGGGTGTACCCCGCCTCTCACCCGTAGACTTTTTGACAGAAAATGGATTGATGGATTTGTATTTGGAATGCTTGTGATATTTATTAAAGGGGTTAGTTCAGTGGCTGAAATAGACATACAGAGAAGTTCAAACCCCATTGACACCCCCTTTCTCTGCAAATCTCACAATTCCAAACTTCTACCATAAAACGGGCGAATCCAAACTAAGCCTCGAATTGAGGTCAACTGCCAGAGGGATGCTGCCTTATTTGGTTCTGGCATGCTGGGCTGTTGACTGGACCGGGCACTTGAACCGAGTCAGCTCTGGGGCTGCTTCCCCCTGCCTGCCTTACTGCACGGAGCCGGCGGTGTCCAGGTTACAGTCGCCGGGTCGGGTTCGGTCACTCCGTCCACCTCTGGCTCCCTTTCCCCGTCCGATGGGGATCCCGGACCAGCCCTGGACCTGACAGCTCGGTCTGAGTGCCCGATGTGTTTCGACTACGTGCTGCACTGTAGTCCACTTAAATCCCAGATGATTTTGAAATTCCCCCCCGGAATTTTCTTAGGTATGAAAAGTAGGACATGTCCAGGAAAAAGAGGACATCTAGTCACACTACCATATCAACAATTTTGATGTTTCAGTGAGTGACTGCTTGTTGCTATGATGCTTCTTTGCTGGGCAGCTTCGCTCGTTGTAAAGCAACCAATCAGTGCACAGCTCATCTAAACATTCATGAGCATACCATAAAAGAAAGAAAACCTTTCGTTTCATTCCAGGGCTTTTAACCAGGCTTGCATTAGGGCACATAAAACAGCAAATATACCATTTTCAACCCAACCAATGTTACACACCCTATTCAGAGACCTTAAGGACCAGCACCAAATACCCTATATAATCATTCTATGACCCCTTTAAAGTAGTATAGAATGCCAAAACAAATAAATGTTTTTTGGAAAGAATTTGAAAATGATTCAGGACTCATTGTTTAATTTTATATATATATATTTTTTTGCAAACAACAAGGAAAGAATATAAAGTGATTTATTAAGTTTTGCTGAGGAAATTAGTTTTAAGCACTAATTAGCACAGATTGCCAGATACAGACCATCACGCTAGTCAGTATAGATAAAGATTAAATATGGTTGTAAATGCAGTATTTTTCTAAATCCACTACATAAATAAGATGCTTTACCAACCTTGTAGCCAGGTGGTTGATTACCAATGAAGGCAGTTGCATTCTCCCAACCATTTGTCTTACTTTTGGAAATCTTTAGCAACTCAGTCTCCACTGTGCCTCTGATCATTATTACTTTAAGGTAAGATGATACTAATGATGAACTGTTTTCAAAGATGTGGTACCAAAATCTGAAATATAGAGAGATGATTTTTGGCACATTCTGGTCAGATAAAAATCCTAAACCTTGTGGTAAAGATTTATCTGGCATATTTGTTATCCATACCTGATTTGGCATCCTATAGCAGCCAGTTGGTTCACAGGATACTCCAAATTGGCTTCTCTGAAGAAACCATCTTCCTTCCCATCTACATGCATTATATATCCTGGACAGTACGCAAAAACAACAACAACAAAAAAATATGGTCCTTGACATGGTTTAACACAACGACATTATGACCAAGCAATAATGTAGTAGCAATAATGATTACCCCAGGGGCTCCCTATGGTGTGGTCCTGTCCTGGTATAGAAGTAATGTTGGCCATCTGTCGTCTCCAGCTATAGGATGACTCACTGGCGTTTTTCCAACCACAAGAGTTATTCTCAAAGTTGCATGAGCCTTAAGAGCAATATTTATAGGTGAAAATGCTGAAACTAAACATGATAAATAGCTTAAGTTTTTGTGAAGCTAGCTTCAGTTTCTCTACCAGAATAAAGATGACTACTCCTAAAAGACACACAAAAAAACAAACCTGTGATTTACTTGTAACCTTTTAGCTAACCTGCTAAGCCGATGCTATAATGGTACTGGTAGAGTCCAGCCTTATTCTAAGACATTGCAAATCATGGTATTTCTAAACTTCTCATTTTAAAGAGAGTTACATAGATTAAGTTTAGTAACAAAAATTGCCCTCTTTTCATTGTAGCATTTAAGCAGACAGAAGAAAATAGCTAATGCTACCCTAAAAAAAATAAAAAAAATTCTCATTAAATGCAGGAAATAATGATGCACCTTTTTATATGATTCACATGTATGTCGATATCAGGCTTCAACTGCTTAGTTCAATAACACAAAGTGGACAGGAATGTCATTATCTTGACACTGATGACTGGATTAATTACTGATTCCATTCACCTGTGTAACTCTGCCAAGTTTCTCATCACTGCTCATCTTACCCACCTGCTCCTTGCCTCTATTTAAGGTGCCCTCATCTTGTCATCACAGTGAGATTATCTTGTTCTCTCTAGCCAGTGGTGAGAGTGTTTTTAGAGTTCCTTGATGCTTCGGATTTACTGATCCTGACCTGTTCTGCCTTTCAACCACTAAGCCTGCCTGTTTACGTCTGATCTCAGTGGTGAGAGGGTTCTAGCATTACCTTAGTGTTCCTGTTTACCTAATCCTGACCTATTTTGCCTCTCAACCACTAAGCTTGCCTTTTGCCGTATGAACGGTTTGCTCAACCTGGCTTCAGACTTCTGGACCAATGAGCCTGCCGGTTCCTGTTCTGTTTACATGTCTTTGGACTCCTGCATGTTCTCTGGGACACTCTGGGCGGCACCCCGCTGCATCTTGCTGCCAGCCCAATGGCTGGATCCTACCTTGCTCTCTGGGCACAGACTGTACTTGTAAACCAGGTTAGTGGCTCACATTCATAATGTTCCTCACTTAGATTTACGTGGTCACTAACCTGAGTTTTCCTCTTGCCAGAATTTCCTGCCCCTGACCCCCCAGCCACTGCATATCTGCAGCCAATTGTTTAAATAAACACTTTTTGAATAATCCCACCTCCTGTCTTGCCTGAATACTGGGTCCTCTGCTCTGAGTCGTGACAAGAAAATTAAATTTGATGAATATGTCCTACCAGAAAACCTCTTATCCAAGTCATATTTGGAGTTCATCCCAAGATCACAACCAGGAACACATTGTCCAGATGTACAGCTGAAATTCCCACAGGAAGAGCAGGAGACGATGGTCCACAGTACTGCAAATACAGCCCAATTGTAAAGGATGTACAGAAAGATATACAGTTGTTCAAATTCCATTGTAGAACAGAACTTTTAAGACTCTTACCTGACAGTAGTGCAAATATCTGCTTCATGTCCAGATGAGGTGAGGCAGGGATTCCAACAGAAACACACGTTCCTAACACATGATATCTAGCTAAGCTTCCAACTAACACTTTGTGCTTGTATAAACCTCATTGCATGTTTATTACACTAGATTAGCAAAGGCGGAGAGTTCTTATCTCCAAATGACAGCTTAAAGTACAGCATGCACTCAGTAACCCGTTACCTCAGTCACCAATATGCATATATATGTATTTATTAGAGAGGCAAGCAAACCTTGAGCTTGAAAAAAAAAACATGAATAAAGTATCAATATTTTGGATAAAAACTAAATCAGACTTCTATGGTATTCATTATGAATATAAACATTATAATATATGTATTATAACATAACAATGTAGTACTCCCGTCTGTCTGTCTGTCTGTCTGTCTGTCTGTCTGTCTGTCTGTCTGTCTGTCTGTCTGTCTGTCTGTCTGTGTATCTATCAATGCATACATATATGCCTGCACAGAGATTTTATTTTTCCCCAGACAACCTTAGGGATAGAACTGGAGATATGAAAAGCCTTTTTGAGGATAGTTAGTTTGAAAAATATGTGTTCAAGTAAAGAGAAAATGCAAACAAAGTTGATTGTAAAGATGTTACAAGTTTTTATCTCTTTGCTTAATTAAATAAATTCCAGTTAAGCCTCTTTACCCTTATATGTTAATTATTGCCTCACTACTGCTGCAGCAGACTCAAGGCATAAGCACTGTAGCTCCAAAAGTTAATATTTCTGCAAAAATGCTCCAGCTCAGAATAAAGGAAAACAACCAGAGAGGAAGTGAAAGTACTAAATGCTATGACAAATGTAAAGGAAGAGTAGGACATTGAAATTTCTACACTCCAGCACAGGATATAGTGTTGCTTCACTCAAGATAAGTTGTTTTTATCAGCAACATATAACAGGGATTGGCTCATGAAATCTCAAAGACTATATACTTCTTTACATTTGTTACATGCTGCACAGTTTGCTTTTACATGTAAAAAAGAGAAAGCTTCCATCTATTGCAATCAGTAATCTTCCAAGAGGCAGAGAAGGAAAAAATATATATATTTAACAACAGTTTTTTGTTCAGATTCTCATACCAGGTTGCAAATATTTTTTTGTATTTTTATGCAAGGCTAGAGTTAGCTGACACACCTGCCTCTAACCTAAATAAAGTATTTCTTTACAGCTTCTAACATGTTTGTCTTAGCCTCCCTTTCTTTGCCAGGCTTCACCAGACTGTCTCCTCCTTGTCCTTATGAGGATTATTCCAGTGTCAACTCCTGTATATAGCCTGCTCTCACTTCTAATCACTATCTCGCTCTGGTTTCATGCTTGACTGTTTCTGCCTGTTGCCAGTTTGTTCAGTTTGCCTCCAGTCTGCTCAAAGCCTGCTACCAGCCTCTTATGCACAATCTGTCAGGCTGAAGCCCACTATCCACTTAATCAGCTTGTCACCAACTGATTTTGCACGCATCTGTCTCCTCAAACCTGCTACCATTCTGCCTGCCTGCATCGCTGGTAATATCATAAACATTCAAAATAAACCTTTTTAATTTGTACAGTGTTTCACTGCAAATTAGGTTCTCAACATGCAGCTGGTCAGGAATCAAACCCAGAACCTTTTTGCTGCAAGGCAGCAGATCTACCCACTGCGACACTGAGCAGCCCTTATTAAATATATTTCCAATTTAATGATTGTTCAGAGTTTTATCTGTCAATCATTGATAATGAATACACAGCCATGGTTTGTAGAAACTACATATTACTATTTGCATTGCAATTTCTTCCAGCATTGCATTTCTTATGCCATTTAAAATGTTTTTTTTTCTTCTAAGCACACAAAATTAATCTATTTCCATGTGTTTCTCATGCACACACAGCTGTCTTTTTAGTAGCAGTTGTTAGGAAGTTATTGAGTTGGAGTTGCAATATTTTTTTGTCAAAGTAGTGTAGTAGTGAGTTTTGTCTGATTAGATGATGATTGTCATGTGCCTCTGAAGTCTTAATAATTGATGTTTGTAATAGACACATATGTTATTCCTGCTTGCTTTATGAATAATGCTTACTCTGATAAACTTTTTTCCCCATAATGAATAGGGCCAATTTTGGCCCTTTCTGGAGTGTTACATCCGTGAGAGGAAAATGCATGTTTGTGTATGTGTTTATGTGCATGCTGCCTTAACTTCCTGCTTTTTTTAGCCAGTAGCAGAATGTTGAAATGTGCCAATCTGAAGCATGAGGGTTTCTCAATGAAAAAGGGAAAAAAAAGGAGAACATGCTGGTGGGCTATTAAGATTCCCTCCTTTCAATGTCCTCCCTCATATGTCTTCTGCTTGCAATGCGGGATGATGTCTGCTGCTTTGAGACTTAGAAGAATGTCACCTCACAGGATTGCTCTTGTAACCCTTGTGTTCCTTATGCTGCCATCTCAGGGATCTACATTAACAAATGGTATTGTATAGTGTATTCTTTTTTTGTTAGCTATTTATTTTGTGGTGTTTTGTTGATGACATTTTTTATGCATTGTATAGAGATGTGAAATACTTGGTGCTATTATACTGGTGCTGAATATGAGTAGTCGTGATATTCAGATTTGATTTTAGAATCATGTTTGTATTGTTTTAGTATTCATACATATTAATTTTACAAATTCATAAAAAAGAGCAAGTAAAGTTATTTTTCTGGCCATTTTATCTTTCTATCTTTCTTACTAATGCATGGCATTGTTTTCTACTTGCATAACAGACAGTGCAGCCATCTCCAGAATATTGATGCCTAATATTATTGACCTATATTCTGCAGTGCTTTTAACACTGAATGAAAAAATATTTTAAGTCCTAAAATTAGTTTTGAATGCTTTTCATTGCAGACTCTCCATTTCTTCTGATGAACAAAGCTTCTGGGTTTTGCTTGGTAAAAAGAGGCACCCGCTGCACGGAAGTTCGCTGGACGACTGGTAACCGACTTTTAGTGGTTCTGACCAAAAAGTGCCTCGGAGCTGAAGGTGAAAGTGTGGGGAGCGAGGTTAGCCAGCATGACTGTGATGAAAAGAACACCCTGCAGATGTGGGAGTGCAGGAATGGAACGCTGCTTGCTCTCAAAGACAAGCCATTCTATATTCAGGTCAAACCTGATGAGTCGATTGTTCTGTCCAAAACTGTTGGGCCATACAACCACCTCACCATTACGGGAACATCTAGTGGTGCCTGCACAAGAACACACAGAGGTACAAAGCACTTGTTTTTGTGACTTAGTGGATAAGTGAAATAAAAACACAAAAAACTGAAGTCCTGTATTAAAACAGTTATAAAACATTCAGATATTTTTGTCCAATTTAAAAATTGTCAAAAAGTTTTATCTTGTCTGATTTTAAATAATAAGCTCATTTTCCCTTCAGAGTTGTACACCATTGGAGGGAATGCTTTTGGAAAAATCTGCATGTTTCCCTTCTTATACAAAGACCGGTGGTATGGAGACTGCACAACGTATGACTCCAAAGTGAAGCGCAGTTGGTGTGCAACTGAAACCAAATTTCAAAATGAAAAGTGGGGTTACTGCCCATCTTCTTGTAAGTTTCTCAGCTTTATATGTCTGTAGATTTAGTTAAAGGCTTCTTTATAGTAAATACAATGATTTTCAACAAAGTTTGACAGTGTTCATATATTTAGAATCAGATCTCCATACTGTAAGTTCTGCAGAGGCCTGGGAATAATAATTTGAAATTATTCTGAATGAAAGAAATATTTTAAATATGCAGCCCATCTGCCCCTGAAGTACTGAAAATACACTGCTTTTATAAAGTGACATAAAAAACATATATTGCATATGTTATATAATTTATGTTTTTTCACATGGTTTTAAATCATGAAACCAATTTCTCTATCTCTATGTCTGCACAGCCACAGAGCACTGGAGCAAGAATATTGTTACCGGAGCATATTACCAGGTGAACCAGCAGTCAGCTCTGACTTGGGCACAGGCTGACACCAGTTGCAAACAGCAGGCTGCATCTCTGGTTAGTATAGTTGATCCCATCGAGAAAGCCTTTATCACAGGTAGGTGCAATCTCTTAATACTCTAACCATTATCTTTATGCTTTTATTTATATTGCCTAATAGAAAATCACAACATATAATAATGTCAATGCAATCTCAATGCAAGAGTTTTAAAAATGACATTGATTTATTTATTTTGTTTGCTTTTCAACTGATATTTGACTACATGATGATTACTAAGGACCAGCTCAAAACATGACCAGGCTTAAATGGAAATTAGAATAACTTCATATCTTGTGTTAAACTTTAAACAGCCTATGTCATAATTTATTTTTAGATTTTTTTTGGAAAGCATAGAGCTTACATAAACAGTCTGCTTGTGGTTGCAGAGGACGATTTGTTCCTTACATGGTAAAATAAGATATGTGTCCACAGTTGACCTGATTAAATTAATAGAAAAAAAATTCTGGCAGCAAACTTGACTGACAACAAAAATGAAGACACTGCAGAGGGGTGTGCCTTATTCTAACAATAATTAAGCAACCTGTTTATCGCAGTTATAGGTTAAAAACATCTCAAGGCAGTTTATTGGTTTTGACAATATTTTAGCACCATCAACACTCTAGCATTAAATTCCTTTAAGCACAGGTTTTAGTTAACTGCAGCAAAACATTTTACATGGAAAATACTATTGTGGTGCAGCTTTGTTTTTAACTAATGCAAAAGAGGAACAAAGTCTTCACTATGCTTTCCCTTTTCCCCTTTCCTTTGTTACAAAAACACATGCAAATACTCAGCATTAACAGCAACAGGAAGGAACAAGGTCTGGATCGGGCTGGTTTTGGACTCAGAACATGGCTGGCAGTGGACTGATGGAAAGCCTTTTCGCTATCTAAAGTGGGATAGCGGTAAGTTATGTGATATTTCCTCTCTAAAGTATAACTAAGGTCATTTGTAGGGAGGAAATTAATTGCACCCTAACCTGTTTTAGACAGGTGTCACATTGATATGAGTTTGTGGAAAAATAAACCCTCAGCTGTTAGACAGACACTATATATTAGCTGATTTAGCTTTAAAGGATTCCTAAAAA